ATAATTACACATGTTTTCACCCCTATTCTTGAGCCGTTTGAGAGGTTGACTCTCGGGTTTTAAGCCGATTTCATGCGAGGTTGTGTGTTTATGTCGTATTTCAGGACCCGGCGTTGGAATCGAGGCGAAGGAACGAGATTCGGGTCGAAAGGAGCAAGTGAGGTTTGAAGTGTGCTGGAGGAAGAAAATACCCGGCCATGACCAAAAATACCCGGTCGGGTATTATTCTGAGGAGGCCGGGTATTTGCTGTTTTGGCGTCTGAGAAACAGAGAGGGTCCCGGGCTGGAGGCACAAAATCCCTGACCGGGGATTATTGGATGAGACCGGGTATTTTTCCCCTGGGCAAAACGCGCGTTTCAACTATACCCGGTCGAGACCCAAAATACCCGACCGGGTATCGCGACAGGCAGCTGTTTTAAGGGAAAAGAAGGCTGAAAATCAAGGGATTCGAGTTTTAGAGAGACAGAGCGATTCCTAGAGAGAGAAAGCGACGAACAAGAGTCTCCAAGTGCCCTAGCTTGATCTTCATCACCATTGGAGCTTGGCTTGAGCTTGGAGAAGTGCCGATCAACGTCCAGGAGCATAAATCCATTCTTCACAGTATGATTTCCACGTCTGAATCTGTTTTTGCTTCTTTCTCTATGGAGTAGTTCTCCCATTCATCTGGGTATGGAGAACCCTAGATTTGTATGTTAGGTCTGATTGTATGAACCCAAGTACAGATTTCATGAGTTGATTATATTCGATTGAGGCTTGAATGATTGAATGACTTGAATCCTGATCAAATTCCTGTTGTTTCTGCTTTAACCTAGAATGAGAATATCTGCCTAGGTTGATAGAGCATCCTTGATTGAAGGTAGGGAGTTGGTGACTTTAGTCGAGGAGCCAACTCACTATTCTGTACCGGATTCACTTCGGCAATGGAGGTTTTGTTCGTTAGGGCCTCAATCTGTTTACTCCGGTGGAGGTTAGTCTCCCGCTGGAGACTCAGATTGAGAGTGTCTGAAGACCTTTAGTCGAGACTTCAGGCTGTTTAAGAACCTTCCGCAGTATAATTTTCATGGAAACTGAACTGGGTAAATTGCAATCCGGCTTAACTGCAGTCTAGGGGAAACCATATCCGGGTGACCTCTCTTAACCTGAAACCAACCGTTTAGTTGCTTTGCTTGTTTGTTAGTTTAGACTTGCATTAAAATATCATTGCTAGATAACAAGAATTCACCGAGTAGTCATCAAATTTAGGAACCGGGTTGACATTTAAACCCAAACCCGCTATACTACGCTTTAGGAATTGGTTTCACTTGGCCATTTTCTAGAGTGACAGTAGGAGTGAGTCATCTCCCCACCCAAATTTCAGTCTCTTCCCACCTGCAATTTGCCCTTGCCATTTCATGCGCAACAGCATTTCCTCCTCTACCCCAAAATCGCCAGCGAATGTCTCCTCTTCCCAAGCACTGCGCTTTTATCTCCTTCACTATGACCCCCAGCTTCGTCTCCTTGTCCATCCGGCTTCTGTATCAGAGATTGGCAATCCGACTCGATTAGGGTTGGCCGGCATGCGTGGATTTGCAGCAGATCGAGAGCCCAAAGAACTGCCCGAGCTTCCGCCATCGCTAGTTCCCAGTCTACACGCGTCCTCCGCACCGCTGCCAGAATCAATATTCCTTCATCATCTCGCACAACCAGTCCCAGCCCCGTTCCTCCCTCTTTCACCTTGGCCGCATCAACATTTGCCTTCAGGAAGTCCCTCTCGGGTTTCTCCCATCTCGCCTCTTGACGGGGAGCTCTCGCCAGACCTGCAGATTGCACACCCGACCGAAACTCTTCCAGGTAAGCCTCCGCCCTTGCCATTACTTCACTTTCCTCTAGCTTAGGTTTATTGAACAACTGATTGTTGCGTTCCTTCCATAAGAACCATAGAGCCATTACCATCGAGCACAATTCATCATCCGAGACTTTGTCAATTAGATCGCACAGTCATTCTTCACAAGAATTCTCCTCCCCTTCTGAAAAGAGGATTCCCAGTGAGCTGGGTCGCCAAATTCACCCTACCCAGTCGCAATCCCTGAGAATATGTTCCTGGGTTTCACACAAACCACAAAATGGACATTCATCGCAAGCCTCCCTAATCCTTTTCGACAAATTTACTCCTGTCGGCAGAATATTGCTCCCCCATTTCCATAGAAAGACTCGGACTTTAGGAGGTAATTGAAGATGCCACATTTTTTTTCAATCCACTGGGATGTACCTCTCTCCCATCTCATCTTGCTTCTTCTTCCGCCAAACCTGATACCCAGATTTCACAGAATATCTCTCAAGCTTATCCCACCCCCAAATTCGCACATCCGGGCCCTGCGTTCTTGGAATTGGGATTTGTTTGATCCTTATTAGATCCTGGGGAAGGAAGTTTGCCTGCAAAACATTGCTCTTCCAGCTCCTTTCATTGTGGTCAATTAACTCGGCCACTTTTGCTTGTAATCCAAGGCTAGACACAGGGGATTCCACTTTAAAGTTTGGACTGGTTGGCACCCATTTGTCCACCATACCCTCACCTGTTCCCCATTTCCTACTCGCCATCTCACTCCCTCCTTCATCAGAGGCTTAGCAGCCATAATGCTTCGCCAAATATAACTCGGGTTACTCCCCAAATCAGCCTCCATGATGTCACAATTAGGAAAGTATCGCGCTTTGAGAACTCTCGCCACTAATGATTGGGGGTTCTTGATAATATTCCAAATTTGCCTCCCTAAGAGGGCCAAATTGAAACCATGAAGGTCCTGAACCCTATACCACCCTCGCTCTTAGGTTGACACAACCTTTCCCAGCTTATCCAATGAATTCGTCTTTCTTCCTTCTTCTGCCCCAACCAAAAGCCTGCAATCATCCTTTGCAACTCTTGTATTACCCCTTGAGGGATCAAGAAAACCGACATTGCATAGGTTCTCTGTGCCTGAGCAATAGCCTTGATTAAAACCTTTTTAGCCGCGTTGGAGAGCAGTTTACTCTTCCACATCTTAATCTTTTTACGAACTCGGTCAATGAGCTGAGTAAACACAGCCTTCTTTGATCTTCCAATTATCGTGGGAAGACCTAAGTATTTATCATGTTGTTGTACTTGCTTCATCCACAAGATACCAACCATCTCCACCCTTTCCGCCTCTTCACATTTCCACTGAAAGAGAGTTCAAACTTAGGGAGACTAACCTGCTGTCCTGACTCTTCTTCGTACAACCTCAAAATTCTCTTCATCACTTCTCCTTGTTCCTTCTTATTTTCAAAGAAGAAGATGCTATCATCCGCGAAAAAAAGGTGTGATATCGTTTCTCCATTAGAACTGACCTTTATCCATTTTAACTCCCCTTCTTCAACTGCTTTGTTGGTGAGGGCTGAGAGTCCTTCAGCACATAGTAGGAACAAATAGGGGGAGATTGGATCCCCCTGTCTTAGACCACGAGTAGGATAGATAACTTCAGATCTGTGGCCATTGACAAGGATGGAGTACGACACTGTTGTAACACATTGCATAATCAGATTGACCCAGCGTGGGTCAAAACCCAGCTTAAGCATAACTTTTTCCAAAAAAAAAACCCACTCCACCCTGTCATAAGCTTTGGCTATGTCGAGCTTTGCAGCAACGAACCCTTTCTTCCCCTTCTTTCTTCTTTTCATAGCATTGAAGCACTCAAACGCCACCATAACATTGTCTGAAATGAACCTGTCAGGGACGAAGGCACTCTGGTTTTCCATTATCACTTCTCCCAAGATTCTTTTTAGCCTATTTGCTAAAACTTTCGAAAGGATCTTATAGAGAACCTTACAAAGGCTGATTGGCTAATACTCCATTGGTGTCTTAGGATCCTTGTTCTTTGGGATGAGAGTCAAAAGGGTCTGATTGAGACTCTCTGGAACCAGTCCATTCTCTAAATATGATTGTAACTCAGCTGTGATTTGAGGTCCCATAGTAACCTAGTTTTTCTGGAAAAACAGTGCAGGCATACCATCTGGACCAGGGGCTTTCAGAGAAGCCATGGACTTGAGGGCAAACCAGACTTCATCTGGCTCAAACGGCTTCATCAACTTCGCATTCATATCAGGTGAGACCTTCCTCTGAACTGAATCCACCACCTTCTGTCCACTAGGGGCAGGTCCTGCTTTAAAGAGAGACTGAAAGTACTCCACCATAACCTTTGTGACTTCCTCTTGACCCTCACGAATTCTTCCTTCCATATCTTGAATCTTCAATATCATATTGCGCTTCTGTCGGTTTGTGGCCTTTCGATGAAAAAACTTTGTATTCTTATCCCCTTCTCTGAGCCAATCTGACCTAGACCGTTGTTTCCACATAAGTTCTTCCTGATAGTAAAGCTCACTAAGTTCCCTTTCCAGAGCTCTTCGTTGAAGGATCATAGCCTTGTTCTTCTGCTGTTTGGATATGGCCTGTAGAGCCTTCTTTGCCTTCCTGATCCTTCGTTTGATATTCCCAAACGTCTGTTTACTCCACTTAAGTAGTGCAGACTCACAAGCTTTAATTCTTTCTTCCATGCTTCGATCTTGGTGTTTATTCCATTCCTCAGCAATTGCCTAGGAACAGTCCTCATGGTTTTGCCAGAAGGCCTCAAACCTGAATTTCCAACCCCACTAAGACTTCTCCCCTTGGGGATAGAGCTCTATACAAATAGGAAGATGATCCGAAGTCCACCTCTCTAAATGGTGGACCTAGGCAAACTTAAATTGTTCTCTCCATTTTGTATTAGCCACTGCTCTATCCAGTCTTTCCTCCAAGAAGCCTTCATCCTCTCTACCATTGTCCCACGTGAAGATATTCCCTACATATCCTAGATCCTCCAAGTTGCAAGCGTCCAAAGCTCCTCAAAATTCTTACATATTTTGGACATCAGGAGGCCTGATTCCATTTTTCTCCTCATATCCCAGCACCTGGTTGAAATCTCCACATACTAGCCATGGTAGATCAACCTGCCTGTGCAGATATCGCATCATATCCCATGTTTTCCTTTTCTTTCCTTGATGAGGCCAACCATAAAATGCCTGTTAACCTCCAGTTCTTTGCTGGATTAGCTTCCTCTACTAGAACATCAATGTAGTGTCTCGAGCAGTCTTTCACTGTAACATTCAAATTGTCCTTCCACATCAGCAGCAGCCCTCCTGCTCGTCGTTTTGAACCAACACCCTTTCCTTTGGTCCAACCCAAGTCAGCAATTACTTTCTTCCATTCATGTTCCTGCTTCTTTGTTTCCATTAAACAAACAAATTTGGGATCCTTTCTTCTGAGTAGCTCAGCTACTCTCCTAACTGTCGTGGGGTTTCCCAACCCACGACAGTTAAAACTTAGGACACTCATTGGGCTGGGCGGCCCTGTTTCATCATAGGGACCGCCTCTTCGCCATCCTTTTTTGTTGTGTTGTACTGAGAATCCAAAATTATCCCTTCCGGGAAGACCAGGTTGCGAGCCTTTTTAGTTTGCATGAGCTCCTCCCTGCTTTGATCTCCACTCTCACCTTTCTCTTCAGCATTCCTCTTCTGAGGAGTCACTTGCAAAGTTCCTCCCTCTCTAGGTCTTACTTGTTCCTGCCTTCTCCAAACTTTCCCTCTCAGTGGCCGTTGTTCCCCTATGGTTTGTTTTTCCATGAGTAGACGTTGCACTGCACCCTTATGTTTACCATTACTTGTTGTTTCAAATGCTGCTCTCTTCTGTAATTCAGTGGCTTGCCCAAGACTGCCCTTGGCTCCCTGCTCCAAAGAATCATCAGGCAGGCCAGTTTCCCCACCTCTCTGGCTTTCCTCCATCAAGGTAACCTGCTCCTTACCTTTCCTTTCTTTTTCCTTGTGCGTATCATTCTCCAAGTCATGGAGCTTTGGTTCAGTCTCCATCCGTTCCACGTCTACTGACTTTTCTATTCCCTGATTTGAGCCTATGCTTTCAATTTCGAACTTTTGCCGCAGCTGTCTCCACACATCAGTATCCTCTTTCCTTGCCCCTGGTGATAATCAGTTCCTCGGAGCAGGAGGGCCTGCTCTTAGTTCAAAGCCCAATGGGTCATACCCCAAATTGGAGGGTTGGGGGCACTTAACTTTGACATGACCAATCCTTCCGCAGGAGTGACAAAACAATGGTAGTTTTTCATACTTAATTGGGAAGTCCATAAGCTTTCCACCTATATTGAGTTTAATTTTCTTCCTTAGGGGATTATTGATAGATGTGTGAACTCTGACTCGCAGGTAGTCTTCCCACATCTTCTCTGAGCTGTCATCAAAATAGTCCAACTCTCCAAACCTCTTGGCTATTTTCTCAGCCATTGAAGTGGTTCTAAGCTCCGCAGGAAAATTTTTTATCTGAATCCATATATCGATTTCATGCAGGTCAGCTGGGACTGGCTTCCGAATCATCCAGCTTGCTTTGAAGACTATGAGACAGTTCTCATAGTGTCAGGGCCCTCCATAGTAAACCTTGTTTCTGTCGTCAAAGTCCAGAAACTGAAAAGCAAACAGGTTATTCTGTAGATCTGTAATCTGAAAGGTCTACTTTAGATTCCACGCTTTCCATAGTGCTAGCTTCATTGACTTGATGTTAGGTTTTTTCTCTGACACCAGGCGGCCATGGAGCCCCAGATGCCTCACCGCTTCCATGCGTACAACATCCACATCACCATCTTCGACCTCAAGGGGTTCCTCGTCATCCTCATCCAGCGTTATGTTGTTCAGCTGATTCTCGATCTCACCTGTCAGATGGAGATTATCTTTTGTTGAATCCTCCTCCACTGGTATCTCGTCACTATCTAGGGTTGCAGCCATCTTCGAAAACTAGATCCTGGTCTCTGCAGGATGAAAACTTGGAAGACACGTCTTCCCTGAGCGGCTACTCTTCCAGGATTTGTGAAAAACTCACAGACGCTTCCGAACGGGAATAGAATCGTTAGGGTAAAACTCAAATTGTAACTTGCTTTGTAGCTATCACGATCTGCTCGCTTTGATATAGACTTCAGGAACACTAAGAATCCTTTTCGGAAAAACCCAAAGGTTTCCGCCACCTCCCTAAACCCTTGCTAAACGAGAGAAAAAACCCTCCCCGTGAAAATAAGATTTTGAACAACTTAGGCTGATTACATTCAAGTAACTGTCGTCCGCCTGAAATAGTTAGAGGCCCATCTGAATTGAATAAAAATACCAAAGCATCCTTCCGTCTTTTGAGCCGGAGCCAGGAAAAACGGAATTAAGTAGGTTCTAAAGTAGAACCTCCATATATGTATTGTATGATGATGATATGATGATTTACTTGGTTGAAAAATGTTGGGGGTCATAAGAAAGCTCAAAGGAGAGACCCAACCAGGCAGAGGCAGATAAGGGGAAAAGCCCATGAATGGAGTCCAAGTGGGGGAAAGGGGCAGGCAACGAGGAAGAGGCCCAGCCCAATTATGACTGGGGACAAAGGCTGATGAAGTGGGACCAGCTTCTGACACGGGGCGTAACGGCTAGAAATGTCGGAGGGTGTAGGGGATGAGGTCAGGCCTGCCAAAAGCGTACAGAGGGCGTGGGAAAGCAAGGTGGGCACCCCGGGTCTCTGAGCTCTGTGTCAGGCGGTCGAGGCGCGTGGCAAAAAGAGAGGTACAGAGCATTAATTGCGGAGATGACGTAGGGTGGATTTGGGGGGCATCGGTCGGCCACCCTCGAGGTATAAATAGCCAAGTAAGTGAACCTCATTTACTTAGGTTTGACTCTCTCACTAAAACTTGGTTCTACTTCTCTCTCTAAAAAGGGGTGCTAACTTGACCGTCGGAGTGCTAACGGACCTGAAAGGTCCGCTGGGCGCCTCTCGTGTAGGTGTGAGGGTTTGGAGTAGGTCAGAGGTGAGCGAGGCACAGACGTGTGGGAAGAGAGAGGTTATTCGGCTCAAACAAAAAACAATACTAGGCACGCATGAGTGAGTATTGAGGAAGAGCCTGATATTTACGCATTAGTACTCCATTCGAGTATGCACTGTCTATATATGAAGTTCGAAGAGGTTAGACTTATGAGTAATTTAATGAAAATGTCATGAGCCATTGACCCTAACTATTTTTTACTATTCAACAATGGGTTCTAATTTTATGTCGTGAATTTTCTTCATAATAAATATGGATTAGTCTGTCAGGGAAACAGTATGGGGAAAACGGATTGAAGGCGTGATTTTGATCACTCTCCTTAGAGTGTTTATTTGCCTCCACTACGTTGTTGCTGGTAGGAATTAGGCAAACCAACCCCAGGAGTCCCTCCAATCAACGTAAGAAATCAGCACCTTTCGTGACTTCTGTGTTTGTGTTTTTTGGAGAAGGAAAAACGAGGAGAAGAAGATGAACGTTGGACGAGAAGTCTGGCTGCAGAAGGCTTTTATAGTGAAAACGACAGTTCCCTTCCGAAGGGTTACGTCGTTTCACAAAAGTCAAACATCAGATAATTATCCGGATTAATTAATTAAAATAACTCCGGTAATTAATTAGCCAAAAATTCAAATTCGAACGCGTCACGCAAACGTGCTAAGTGCGTAGTGCAATTTAATATGTAAAATTAAATAGCCCACACTTTTTCCAAAAGCCCACTAACCACTTTATCCAATAACTAAAGTGGAAAACAAACTTAAAAACCGCTTGCACTTTCCTTCTCCCACCAATGTGGTATTTCCTTTACTCTTTTGACTACTCTAACAATCCCCCACTTAGTCAATAAGAGTCGAGAATACCTGCCTCGAACAAGTAACGCATACATAAAGTTATCTTTTCGATTTGAACATTTACTTAGTGTAAGCATCTCAAAGTTCATAGCGAATCAATGACGGGCTTAAGCCTAGGAGTCAAGATCCAAAGCTAGAATCGGAGATACCACACACGTACTTGTCTCTTCTCTAAAACACAACCACCAACAAGGCAACACTATTATGACCATGTGCTTATCCTGTTTCATGAGCATATACAAAAGTTGACCTTTACTTTCGTTAGAGCGGCACCACTCCAAATGCTCACATAGGTGACATTCCAAATGAACGTCATTAAGAGTTCTATAACTCACCCTTCTTACAACTAATTTACTTGTACAATAAACTAGTTCCCAGTTAGAGTAACTTGTTATTACCACATTGAACCTTTTAATTAGTGAATTACTAAAGAAAATGTTGGGTTTCCATTACTTCTAACTATACAAAAGGTCTCAATCCCATCCCTTGGGATGTCTCATAGATCATGCCTCTTGGCAACCCCTTTGTAAGAGGATCTGCCAAATTGTTGCACAACCTTACATACACAATAGAAATGATTCCGTTAGTAATCAAATACCTAACGTAATCATGTCTTAGGCTAATGTGTCTAGATCAAATACCTAAGGTAATCATGTATTAGGCTAATGTGTCTAGATTTACCATTGTAAATCTTGTTATAAGCTCTAGACAAAGTGCAAAGTGTGTAGTGCGATTTAATATGTCAAATTAAATAGCCCACACTTTTTCCAAAAATCCACTAACCACTTTATCTAATGACTAAAATGGAAAGCAAACTTAAAAACCACTTGCACTTTCCTTCTCCCACCAATGTGGTATTTCCTTTACTCTTTTGAATACTCTAACATGAGAACGGATCAGGTCAATAACTCTATGGCCAGTAACCATGAGTAACCTGTCCACATCAGCATGATATTAGTATCATCTCTCTCTTGGAAAGTCTTTTATATTTTCCCCTTTAATATTTAACGGACGATTTCTCTCTCGTTTTAAGTCAAAAAAAAAATTGCACAGATAAATCAGATTAAATGTGCTCTTTAAAATGATATCCACTTTGATATATTTTTAGTACAAAAAAATTGAATAGTTTTTTACCAGTCATTACCATATGGTATGCTCATATTTAATACCATATGGTAAGAAAGCGTACCATGATGGTATGAACATACCAATATGGTAAGAAGGTTGAATACATGATAGTAGAAGTATACTAACTATCATTTACGACTTTCATCATTGTTTACTAGAAGTTACCACAAGTTACCACTCACATATCATAGTGGTAAAGTATGGTAATTTTTTATCTAGAATTTTTTTCACCCAGAAATTTATAGATCTAATAGATCATGATGAACTCGTTCCTTCTGAGCAAACGTTTTCAAAAACGACTTAAATATGAGGAAGTTACCATATGGTACGTAGTTGGTAAAAAAAAAAGTTTCTCCAAATATATTTAAAATTGATCTCATTTTGTAGAGAACAACGAACTCGTTCCATCTGTGCAAAAAAAATTGAAATCCGAGTTAGAACGAAAAAGATAAGAGCCGATTAAGAAAACTAGGGAAAATAAAATATTTTTAATTAACAACGCTTAGATTTGAATTTTCTAGACCCACTTAGATCTAAAGGTCCAGATTTAGTTACTCATAGATCAGTAACCATTACGGGTCCTATCCTAAGCCCTCTAACATTGTCTACATCAATGGGGTTCGGAAATAAATAGAAAGGAAGAAAATACGAGAGGATCTTGCTATAAATAGTTAAATATCTACACATGAAAAATCTGTAGCTGCATTAACTGGGCCTTTTGGCCATTCTTTCGCCTCATCTGGTTTTTATCATGTCAAGACATTTTCCCCTCCTCTACACAAACAGCTTCCCTGGGTCCAATCCATCTCGTCGATCAGATCCAATTCTAGACAACTCACAAAACCATGAAAATGTATCCTTTACACCTATATTTATTTATTTATTTTAAGCAGTGCAGGCCAGGCAAAAATATTATTTACAAAAAAAACACCATATAAAATTACTTAACTAATGAGATTATAGAGATGTTTGATCTGATGACATCAATATGTGATGACACATATTCATTAACTAGCTTATAATCTGGCCTATTGGCCGGAATATTTTTATCTGATTATTTATATTTTTATGTTATGTTTAAACTAGGGTTAATATTTTCGTATGGCCTGAACTTTGATCAAAATAAACATCCTGGCCAATCTTTTCGATCTATAACATCCTGGCCCAAACTATACACCAAAATAAACAATTTGGCCAAACCCGATGTTTGACCGTTAACTTGGACGGTCAAACGCGTTGACTAACGGTCAACGCACCACGTCACTGCCAAGTCAGAAGATCTGATAAATATTTAATTTTTTTTCGTTTTTTATTTTTGGTTTAACTAAGGTATTAGATGATTTTTTTTTAATTTATAATAATTTAAAATTAGGGAATGTGTGGAAATTGTGAATTATTTTAAATATTTTATGCTGACTTGGCAGTGACATGGCGCCTTGACTAACGGTCAACGCGTTTGACCGTCCAAGTTAACGGTCAAAAGTCGGATCTGGCCAAATTGTTTATTTTGGTGTATAGTTCGGGCCAGGATGTTATAGATCGAAAAGATTGGCCAGGATGTTTATTTTGGTCAAAGTTCAGGTCATACGAAAATATTAACCCTTTAAACTAATCAACCGGTTTAATTTTATTGACAATCCTTCGATCGAGATGATATATAAAGAAAGAATATATAGGTCTAACATTCGGAAAAATATCATCATCATTTAAGAATATAAAATATAAAATGTATCATTAATTCCATTTTCATAATGATATTTAAGCCCTCATTAAAATGCTATTGGTTAGTTGATTGTCAAGAAAGAGGGTATAAAAGCTCAGTGAAATTCCACACGACTCATAGATAGTTTGAAACTAAATCTTAAACCTCACAATCCTACATAAGGGTTTAATGCGCTCCTTTTATGAATATATGTCACTAATCAAAAAGAAATGGAGAGTTGTTGATTCAAGTCAACTATACTACTAACAACTCAGTTAAGAGGGGACCATCAAAACTTGAGAACAAATGACAAAATTAGGGTTATCACCAACATACTAATAGACTCAATCAAAGTAATAAGGCACAACATTAAACACTCCTTGTCTATCAGTTCCAGTAGGTTGAATAAAGAATCGAACTACTTCAATAAATCAATCAATGATTCCTTGTTTTAATAGAAATAGGTTGTGATAGATGTAAAAACCATAAATATAAAGATCCAATAGTCACCACTCTTCGTTTTACAACCAAATTTTTTTTATCTCAAGAGACATATGTTTCAACCAAAAATTCAATTTCTAATCCTCCTTCTGCAACTCCATTATTTATTAAACTCTTTTACTTGCCCAACTTAAATCTCCAACAATAAAACCGGAGTGCCAAAAGATACCGGATGGTTGATTTTCAAAAGCGGCCTTGTACTGGGAAGTGAAATGGGCGCAAACTATTGTACCATTGAGGGAATTTTCGAGGAAGTTAGAAAGAGATAAGAACAAAGATAAAAACCACAAAAATTAAATTGAAAAATGCAAGAACACAACACGTAGTGACAAAATTAGTTTTTTACATGTTAGCCAATTACCAATTTACCTTGAGCAAAAATTAAGGAGACAGAAAGAATTATAAAATTGAGAAAGTACATGAAACTCTACAATGAAAATTGAAGTATCAAGCGTCATAAAAATACATACGGTATACTTAGTAGGCTTGCTAATTATGATGGAAAGTCCTGCGATTTTCAGAGAGTTGAACTTTGTGTATATTTTGTATTCAAAAAGACGCAACAAATTTGTTCATTGTAAACAGTTGTGATTGCTGTCTTTATTTGAAGAGACCCGGGTTCGAATCTTGATGTTGATATTTTTTTATGTGAAATAATAATTAATTTGTAAAAACAAAAATGTCCTTCCTACTTTCACTCTCGTTGCAAAAAATTTGAAATGGAGAAAAGTACACAAAAGTGTACTATATATTATTGGGGGATATTCTAAAAAAATTATCAAAATATAAACAGATAAAAACTGTTGAATATATTGACTTCAGTTTGTTGTATAATTAGTACGTAAGTAATAGTGGCCCAATAGTTTTAGTAGTATACGTTAGGCCTATGCAACCAATACTGGCCCACGTATTAGAGAGCAGCTTGTATTTCCTGTACGATTATCAGTCATCATCAGTAAGAACACTAGCCAAACTCTTCCGTGGATTAGTTTTGAAATTCCAATGATACCACGTAAATTTGTGTCCGATTTTCATTTCGATTTCAGTACTGTTAGATAAGTTAACAAAAACCATCGTCAATAGAACAATGATAGGAGTTAGAGGTGGGCATTGGGTGGGTCGGGTAGATTTTGATCATAAAATGCACCCACCCGCGCTTAAACGGATTGATAAATTTTAACCCACCACCCACCCACATTTGGTCTCGGGTTGGGTCGGGCGGATGATGGATGATGCGGGTGGGTTTGTGGGTTCACCCACATCACAATGTATATAATATAAAGGAGTCAACTTGACATGATAATAGGTGAAGAGAATCATTGAGGGAAACAAGAAGTTGAAATAGGGCGAAAAATGTCGAATTAGTTCTTAAATTGGATAGAAATTCTATTATGAAAGAGTTTTCTACAAATTGAGACGATTATTAGGTGCAAGGAACTAAGGAAAATAATTCTACAAAGGAAAGAGCGGTGATCTAGGCACAAGAATTAGAGGAAAAAGTAAAGGGAAGAAGAGGGGATCTCTATTTGGAAGGTTGGCTTTGAGGTTCAAACTCTAGGAGCAGTCCGAGTTTATATCTAACGTCTCCACTCTCCTCTCTCTAGTGCCAACGACTTTGATATTTTTGCAGTTGGGTTGAGCGGGTCACCCGCACACTCACCCACAACCCACCCACCACCTGGCGGATGGCTCCCAGCGCAACCCATCACCCACCCACAGACCCACTCACTTAACGAAATTCGGGTCAAATGCGGGTGGGTCAGCCCAAACCCGCGGATGATCCGCCCGCATGCCCAGCCCTAATAGGAGTGTTGAAATTAAAGTAAAATAGCACTACACATTTAATTCGACTCAATTAAATTTGAAGTTAGTCGAAATTCTTCCCATAATTAATATTGCCAATATGATTATATGAATGCTATATATCTAACCTCATTCCAACTATTTTTTTTTTTTTTAGTGTTAATCTATTAAAGAGACTATCAAGTATGCCCTTCCTATCATGGTTTTGGGACGAGAATGATGGAATAATTATAGTCGTTGAAAGATAAACTCAAAGCCCACACCAATTGTTACTCTTCTGTGTGGTCGACAACAAAGCTTACAAGAAATAGGTTGGAGGGAGAAAATGAAAAGTCACAAAAAGATACTGAAATAGAGATCATCTTGTCAACTACTTCATAATTTATTGGTGTTCAGACTCCTTATAATTAAAAAAAAATACTGCAGGAAATATTTGTGTTCGCGTTGTTTTAATTATATATATATTATCTTGTCACCTTCATAAAATTTGTATTCGTATGATGCATTTTAATGTAAATATTCTATACACGTAACTTGAAGCGTGAGGGCTCGTTTGCTTTATGGATTTGAAAAATAAATGTTTTGGTTAAAATCTGGATTTTATAAAATCATGGATTTATGATGGAATTGGTTCATTTAGTTTTTGAATAAAACCATTGTTTGCTTGTTGGATTTGATGATGGATTTTGTTGTAATATATTTATGATTATATTATGCATTTACCTCGTTGCCCTTACTAACCCTTATTTAATTTTTGTATTATTATTATTATTGTTAGAAACAAAAATGCCTCCCATCCCTTTAGTCTCGTCCCAATCCTCACTTCATCTCATCTTTTCATACTCACGATGGTCATGGCAACCTTCTGTTATTATAATTATTAGAATGTTATATATAATCAAAGTGGTCGTGGGCTCGTGGCAATCCATGTTTAACCTGCAATCCATGTTCAACTTGCAGATGCTCGTTTCATTAAGCACACACATACAGCCTGCATCCATGTTCACCCTGCAGTTTTGTGTTTCCATCTGCAAAGTTTAAAAACAACACATGTTCAACCAAGTATACAACAACCAACAACTACAATACAACCTAAAAACACATCTGGAAAATATACTTACAGCCTACTTGAGGTAGGCATACACAACCAGTTTGCATTGCATTCTTTAAAGGATTAGACACACGTTGGGATGGATTGAAAACTCTCAAAATCTCTAATCTTCCACCTCCTACTTTCCCCAAAAACACACAAGTTTCCTATCCATACTATATGTGTTCAGTACACACAAGTTTCATATCCCAAAATCAATTCCCCTACATACATACAACCTAATATTGTCCCTTGCTAGCCCTGGCAATCAACGTAACAAGTTATGAATGAAAATACTTCTTGTCCTCCTCATTGTCGAGAGCATAGAAGAGTCTTGTCTTCCGATCATTCTCAACTAAGGTCATTGCAACATCAAGGACTTGGCAGCGTTCCATGTCCTTGAATTTTCCCTATTTCTGCCATTAATGCAGCCTCCCTACCATCCTATTCCTCACTATCACCTACAATTGATCCAAGAGCATCAAGTGCCTTCGATATTATAGGCTTCAATCCTCCCAGTTCCTCGGCCACAGCAGCAATTGCATTGTCCGTCTTGTTCTCCTTCTTTATAGCCTTCTTCTTCATATCGGAGTTGTTGGCCCCTTGTGTTGGTTGAGCTGGTGGGGTCACAACCACTCTCTAGGAGATCTCGATCCCTTCATTGATCAAATCTTCTATAAAGCTCTCAATCCCTAGGCCTTCTACATCAATTGGTGTCTGAATGCCATCCACGTCCACGAAAGCAGGTTCAACCACATCAGTAATACCAGCAACCTTTCTTCCATTTGCAGGGCCAACTTTTCCAAACACCTTTATCAATTCATCATAGAATGGGAAGGGCTTCCTATTAAGATTCTTGCAGTTTGGGTGAACCTAGAAATAATAACTACATTAGAAGGAGTATTTTGACAAAATCAGGACATTCAGCAAATGACAATCACATAATTACCTTAATCAATGCTTCAAAGACATCATCATCCAGTGTTGGAGTCTTTGTTACATTGTTCCACCCATAGCCGCTTTGATTACGCACCAACTGTATAGCGTGGAAATCTTTTTTCAACTTTTTATGCCTAGAGCGAATGTTCGGTTCTACTTTTACCCCGCATCCAGGAGACCTCTCTAGCATCATATTCTCCAGCTCCGAAAAGGCCCCATTCTTGAAGGATTCATTCTCCACATGATGCCTTTGAGTCATCTCCACCATGCATTGTATGAGCAATGCATTAAGGGATTCATTCCACTGGAAGTAAGGGCTAGTTGGTTGAGGTACCTCTCCTTCGGTTATGACTAGCTTTCTCTTCCTTGTCATCCTATAATATCAATAGTGAATTACAAATGGAAAATTCAGCAGCTGCTCGCATTCGGTAGTAGTTATCTAGTAGTTATCTAGTTGAGGTAGCTGCTCGCATTCGGTGTCGAAATGTCATAACTGTTTCTGTTTGAATGGTTCATTAGTGCAACAAGTTAGCCCAGAGAAAAGTTAAAACTAAGAAGAATGTTGTGAGAGACAAAAAAACGTGAAAAGCAAAACAACTTGCTAAAAATTCTATAATGATTAACCATTATACCGTGAACTACTAATTTTATGGGTTGCAAATCCTATTGGGTATGAAAACAAATGAAAAATGGTATCTTGTTCAATGTTCATACATGAAAAACCTTAAAATCACTGTCGGGGTTTTGAGTGTTGGTGGCTCCTCTTTTCCTTGGTAAATTATTCAAAAAGGTTACAGTTTTGAAGTTGGTGGTATGAGTAGTCAGCATTGCTTAGTTAACCATGAATTATTTAAATTTTGGAAAGGGAAACCAAATCAGTTTTAACTTTTGTAATTGGAGGACAACGAGCTTAGTTTTTTTATTATTATTAAAACATTAGTGATACGTAATAATCAACTTAAATATAAAGTAAAAATTACGAAATCATGCTTATGCCAAAACTAGATAAAAGAAAGTTGAAAGAATTTGTCAAAGCGTGGCCAATTGGTTGTTGACTTGGTTTACTTCAACTCTAATTAGGATGTGCTAATTCCATAATTTTTAATATGAATGACAATTGTTTTCATATTCGACTATTCTTATAATAAGCAGAGTCTTTTACGGACTTTAAGATATTGGTACTTTGATGTACAAAACAAAATTGAACGTGTATGATAAAGTTAAAGGTACGAGTTCATTTGACAGCATAAATAATTTATAAAAGTATAGATACAGATAATTCAGTCAAAATCGCACTTAAAAAAATTTATGCTTTTACGCTTCTCAGTCACCAAAGCACTTCTTTGTAGAATAACACTTTTCACTTGCGAGCGTAATCAATAATAGTGCTTTAAAACTTATAGGGCTAATTCCACTAGTAAGCCCAAACTATTCAAAAAGTGTCATTTGTGTCTTGAACTATACAATATGACACATTTTCACGAACTATTTTTTTGTTAATGTTGACCAACTTTGACCGTTAGTATTTAACAGAAAATCTAGTCAACATCTATGTGGTTTGTGTCATATTTGTCATATTGAATAGTTTATGACACAAATGTCATAAAACGCATATAGTTTGTCAGATTTGTAATATTGAATAATTTATGACACAAATGACACTTTTAGAATAGTTTGGGTTTCATAGTAGAATTAGCCCAAACTTACAGTTTTACACTTCTAAGTCACCAAAACGTTTCTACGTAGAATCACGCTTTTAACTGTACTGGTACAAACTATATTTGTACCATAACGTTTTAGGTATAAGTTCAATTTGTATCATAATTTTTTTTTTTACTAAAATACCGTTACTATAAAACATTGTAAAATTTGAGATGTTACTTTGCTACTAATATGTTCAGATGAATAGTTGACAAATATTCATAAGAATCATATATAATTTAATAGTAAACCTGCAATGTAACTATGCACTATCTTGGAAATGTTTCTAATAAAAGGGTTGACATATTTGTTCGTTTTTTTTCCCCATGACATATTTGCTCGTTAAAGGCTGATTTGCTTTAAACTAATCTGAAATGATTAAGGTTAAGACCTTATTAAGACACAAACACGCATCACAAAGCGATAAGCAATGTCCCAAACACAAAAACCAAAAAGAAAAATAGATCACTTTGTCTATAGTGTCATCATTGTCCGTCTTGAACATAACAATGCACCATATTTTCTGGCTTTCTTTTGCTTGGTTTTTCTTCATTAAAAAGTGAGAATGATACAATAATTGCAGTTAGATTATTCACGAAATTAAGAATCTCACCTATTTGCAACTTTATTGTAGCTAAAATGTGATGTAAAGAAAGTACAAAAATTGATAATTCGAGTAAATTTACATATAATCAAACAAAAAGGTTCAAGAATAAGACGGTCAAATTGGATCAAGTCAAGCGAAATACTCATGCCCTCCCAACTCCCAGAACAACTATTACCCGTCCAAATAAATCAAACAAATCGAATAAAACGAGTAAGATCGAAATTGTCATTCTAATAAACATTCCCTTCCAATCACTCTGGTTAGGCGGAGTGAGTACGTGCCTGTAAGCAGGAGAGGACTTCAAGGACCATCTGTCATCAAGCGCTTACACCACGGCACCACCTAACAGCAAACCCAAATAATACTTTCAAACTCTGAAAAGTAGTAACTAAGATTAGAATAACCAATATACCCCTGGGGAAGAAGCGATTTCACGAAGTAATGCCACCATATTTTTTTGTTTGTTTTCTAATGTTTTCCTTGCGCGCGAAGGCAGAAGCGAAAGACGGACGAAGAAGCTTTTTGGATAGGGTTTGTCGCGTTTTATCGGTGACAGTGGCACTTCTGTAATTAGATTGACATATTTGGGTAGAAGACAAAGATACGGGATTCTGTTTCTTTTGGCTTCATCTTCTCCGTCTCACACCGGCACACGTGTTGCTCGTGCCGGAAATTCCCCCTCCGGTGAACGGATCCTGTTTTTCCGTCAGAGAGCTTAGCTGCATCTTTGGCTCTTTGCTTGGTTGGATTTTTACCTTTTTACAGTGCTCCGCCCGGCTTATTAATGAACATAATTAATGATTTTGTATTGTATGCCTATCATCCTTCAGTTTTAAAGTTATCTATAAGTACAAGATTAATATTATACATTAACAAACAAACAAAAAACGCCATTTGGGTAGCAGTTTGTTCGAGAACCGCTTGGTCAGACATCGTTTTAATTTATTTAAACAAACCGTCACATGTCGAGGCGTTTTAGTGGCTGGCCTAAAACAAACCGCCTGTTGAAGGAGCGGTTCTACGTCGACAATAGAAACCGCTCTTTCAACAGCCGGTTTGTCTTGTCGACACACAAATCGCAACCCCCCTCCCCCCCCCCCCCCCCCCAAGCGATTTGTGTACCGTCCACATTCCCCCGACAATCGACATGTCGGCATGCAGGGGGTTGCAGGCGTCGAGCTGCACGCAAGATGAAAATCGCACCCTCCCCCAACGGTTTTCAGTGGTCATTTTGCCTATAAAAGGCATTCCCGAAAACCTTAGCTCTTCACCCATCTCCTTATTCTTCTTCAAATTTATGTTGTGCAACCTATTTTTTTTTAAGTCTTTGCGATTAACGTTACTTCGTAAGTTTGTTTTTGTATTACTTTTTAATGCGATTTGTGATTTTTTTTGTATTAATTTAGTTACTATTTTATTCCAGATGACATTCCAAAAGTTCACGTTTGTGTTACGGTGGAATGGTTATACGAAAGAGACCGAAAAGGGAGTACGTTATGTCAGTGGTAATTTTCATAAAGTGAAAGTCGCTACGAACCTTGAAGAACTTCGTCAAATGTGTACCGAGTTTACTTGCATGGATGACATGAGTAGAGTTGATCGTATGGTGTATCAATATTCAAACAGACATGACGGGTCGTTGTGCCATGAGGAATTTCTCATAATCACTAAGGAGGAAGTACTTGCTATGGTCGAATTTTTGATCGCCAATAACAGTAAACAAGCAGAGATGTTTGTTTACACTGAGACAGTCGAAGGCGGTGGAGGTCATTCTGGAGATGGCCAAACATATGGTATCCATGATAGAGGTGGATTATACAAAGATCATCCCTACCAAGGTTACCACGATCCTCATTCCTACCATGAGTACCAAGAAGGAGGTGGAGGTCATCATCAATCCTTCCCATCATATGAAGAAGAAGCCCAAGGGTACCATGGCAACCAACAAGAAGGCCACCAGTACCAACCCGAGCACAACTTCCACCAAGGCAACGGTAGTTATCACAACTACCATTACGGAGCTGATGAAGATGTCTTTCGTGATCTGGATCAGATGGTAGATGACCTGCCAGGTCCAATTAGTGACCCTGAGGATGAAGAAGAGGAAGGCGATGATGATTCAAGCCCAGATTCATACGCAGATGATGATGAAGTGTCTCGTGACCGTGTACCTATCTCGTACTACAATCACATTCCAAATAAAAATTGGTATGTTGATGCCGACATGGACCCGACAGAGGTGCCAGTATGGGGTCCACTTATTGGGTTTACGAATGACCAACAATTTGGTACGAAAAATGAGGTGTGGCACGCTGATGCCACTGAAGCAAAGAATTGGAGTTTTGAATGGCACACAACTCATTTCGACATGAAGATGCTCATAGTTAGATGTCAAAATTAACACGATGGATGCAAGACTAGGGTCCGGGCCATCCAGAGCAAGAGAGTCGACCATTGGGTCATATCCCGTGCAGTGAACAATCACACATGTGTATCATCCATAACATCCCAAAGCCATCGACAATTGAAATCTAGGATGGTTGTCGCAGCTATCAAACATCTAATTAAGCAACAGTCCGGCTTGAAGGTGAAAGCCATCACCGTCGACATTTCTAGTCGTTATGGATATATTATTAGCTATAAGAAGGTGTGACATGGAAAGCAAAAAGCAATGACCGCCGTGTTTGGTGACTGAGAAGAATCATATGCTTTCCTTCCCGGATTGATTTTGGCATTGGAGGCGTCTAACCCTGGCACTGTTATCTCCCCTCGATACCAAGATGAAGAAATTTAGCCGTCGGAGCCAGGTAACAAACGCCATTTCAAACTTCTTTTCTGGTCATTCAAGCCATCTATTGATGGTTTTCCCTTATTTGTCCTTGTGATACAAGTGGATGGAACATTCCTTACCGACAAGTACAAGGGAACTCTACACATCACCAGTGGAGCGGATGCAAACAGAGGTGCCTTTCCTCTAGTCTTCGCCATTATTGAACGAGAGATTACCGAAAACTATGGATGGCTCTTCCGACAAATTCAACTCCACGTCACTAGGAGGACGAACCTAACAATCATCTCCGATCGCCACGCCGGGATCAGGGCTGCCATTCTAGGATTGGATCCAGCCTGGAAGTGGTCACAGAGGTGGTGCATATGACACTTCAACAGCAATTGGAACCATCATTTCAAGCGGAGGAAGCTTGTTGATAGTCTATGGTGGACCGGTAGGCGGTAAGTGTTATATTTAATTGGTAAATTGATTTTTTTAACTGGAAAAATATGCTACGAAATACAATGCAACACTTCCTTAGACTCTTTATAAAGAGAAGCATGCCTAATGAAATGGGTTCTTAAGCGATCATCATGATCCTCCCATTTCCTAGAAAAATCGGGTGTTAAGCGGTCTTCGTCCCCCCTTTATCTGTCAAAAAGGCGGTGTTTCTAAGGAGATGTATACATCTTCTAAAAGTGTAACGAGTGTACTTGTATTGCTTTAAATTATTGAAAACAACCAATACGAATATCTCCTTACTTAACGCTTTTGTCCGTATATTCATTAGTTGTTGCTTACCAAAAGAAGAAATTCAAAGAGAAGCTGCAGAAGATTTATGAGCTATGCCTTGAAGGTGCGCAATGGTTGGATCAACATGACCTAACCATGTGGATTTTTCATAAGGACGGAGGTACCAGTTCTTAGGCATTCATCTCTTTATAAATAGTCTAAATAAGTGGCACATTGTATTATCCTAAACAAATAAAACTAATCAATATGATTAACAAGTAGCCATTTTATTTTACAAACCACTAATTACGTCTTACGTTAACAAAATAAAAAATGACAAATGAGGATAAATTATATGTACTTTGTGATCGTTCCAAACATCCCTTGAACGATGGTTATCATGGTCGTATAATATGGATGGATCAATCGGTCCTTGATCAACATAATATCTTTAGTTGTATATATCCACATCCTCCCCAACCTACGATAGCATAACAACAACATAAATTAATTAGTATATAGATTAAATAAAATAATTATAACAACAACAACAAAAATTTGGTAAAATAAGTACGTACCGCTTGATAGTCATCATAATAAATACACTATTCTTCAAAAATATCAGTCATTTTTGCAGGTAGTCGGACATAGATTCGTACTGCTAGGGATGCTTAACGCCACTTTCACCCCTCTCTGAGGTGGGCTGGATCTGCTGCTGTCAGTCCTTGTTTCACCCCTCTATACTACGAGACCAGGCTGCTTAAGCAAGCTGGGGCCGAATCAACCTGGACACGAGTGGGAGCGGCGAGTACAGGCAACCCGGGGAATATCATCGATGGAGGCCCTCCCTGCCAATTGACGTGCCTGGTACCTGGTAAAACGCAAACGGAGGATGGGGATCGATGAAGAGGAAGGCAATCATAGCGATTACGAAGCCAACCCAAATCATGTCTCATGTTATTGTTATCTCCGCTGTGGATGATTCGAAGCCGATGGAGGACTGATTGAAGAGCATCAACAACGAGCTGTATCCCTCCTACTACGAGAGCGCTTGTCTTTTTGTTATTGCCATATCCACCCTGACCTGGATGGATGGACGTCAAATAATGACCAAAGCAAGCTGGTCTGTTTAATTCCATTTGCCAAGCAAGCTGCTCCATTTTATTCAAGCAAGTACGAGTGTAATAGGGTTGGAAGCGAGTATGGAAACTTTGGAGCAAAATCAGAGACAGTTCCGACGGAAGTAAGGTGAGTGTAAAGGGGGTAAATTCTACGCCTTACGGTTTTTCAAATATTTGTCTTGAGTATTTTTCAAGTATTGATTTAAGTGATGTATGTGCAATGTTTGATTCATGTTTGAGATTGCATGATTATGTTTGATAGTATGTGCTTTGGTTGAGCTATGATTTGAAGTTTACGTTTATGAGTGATTACTAAAGCTTAAGAACAATCCCTTTTAAGAAATACTTCACCTTCGAAGAAGGTGAAATCGTTTTAAGTGTTTTTAGTCACTAGCACCAGTCTGTTGCCATTTGTGATTTTCAGATAGAGCAGCAGTTATGCTCTTTAGATCTTTGAGACAGAGCAGCAGTTATGCTCTTGAGATATTTAAGTTGAGCAACAGTTATGCTCTTGAGATTTTTAATATGAGCAGCAGTTATTCTCTTGAGAATCGTGGAAGAATAGCCTTCTACGATAAGTTTAAGTTTAAGGAAAGCCTTGATGGCTTCTCATACGTATGAGTTGGCAACCGGACTAGCTAGTGAGAGATCCCCGTGTCAGTCAAGTATTTAAGTTAAGATTTAAGCTTTAAGAATGGAGAGTAACAGTTACTCCCATACAGTTTTAAGATTTAAGATTTTTTTTTAAGAATGGAAGTACAAACAACTTCTCTCAGTTTGAGTTTAAGTGTTTGAGAAGAAGTGCAAAATTATTAGAAAGTTTAAAACGTAAGGGCGTAGACTGAACCCAACTCACTCACCAGGCCTTAGTAAGGGAATGAGCGAGAACCAGATCGGTGGCAGCTAGCTAGAGGAGCAGTTAGAGAGCAGCGAGTTCGAGAGGAAAAGTTCGAGGGCAGCCAGCTAGAGGAGGGCAGTGCAACCTTCACGGAGGATGCCTAGTTAAGAGTTTCAGTAGCAGCAACGACAGAGACTACCTAGTGATTTGCATTTTATGATTATGAGTATAGACTGGAGATCAGATTGGGATTTTAAAGTTTGAGTTTATTTGCCCACGTCTTAGGGCTTTGCTTTGAACTACAAGTGTGGGTTTTCAGTATTTTATTTATGAAAACTTTTTCCCGCTGCAATTTAAGATTTGAGTATTTTATTTATCAATGGTATTTTAGTAAAAGTTGTACCCGGCGGGGTTAGGGTGTTACAAGTGGTATCAGAGCCGGTCTTCCTCTGTTCTTTGGTTTACAAGGAATACTGGAATGTCGGTCTCAGTTTTTAAAGGTTTTGTTTCAAAGGAAAGGAAAATGAGTCAAGGGTCTCCTTTTAAGTGTCTCCAGTCTACTCTAATCGTATTGAGATAAAAACTTTAGTCCTAATAAAAGGGTGCGCCAATCGCAAATTTCTATACCGAGGTATAGGTACGAGGAATCAAAGGAGTCAAAGGAGTGCTACGAGGATTTTTCTACTTAGCTACTAACAAGTGATCTAATATGTTAAGATATACAAATAGGAGAACTATGAATCTCCGAAGAAAGAGCTACAATCACTAGATGTCAGTAGCTATAATGATGAGAGAATTTCAGGGTCCTTGACCCAAAGCAGTGGCGAGTCAAGAAACAAAGAGGTACCACGAGAATTCCCTCAACTAAATTTAGTGGTCAACACTATTACAACACAGTGACAAGGAGCAGTGGAAAGCTTAGACTTCAAGAGAAGCACATGAAAGTTCCGATGAAGGATTGAGAATATGTGTAGGTGACTAGTGTTCAAGAAAATGCATAGTGGAGTACGACGATGAAAAGCATTACCAAGATTGGTGAGATAAGAAAAATTATTGAGAGATAAACAACCATCTTAGTGGTTCAAAATGACCTAGACGTCATCACGAAGGTGATCGACCGTGAGAACCTTCGGATCACCCGAGAGAGAGAGAGAGAGAGAAGCGATAACACAAAGATGAAGAGGAAACAAGGCTATTTGATATGTGTTTTTAATGGATACTGTATAGTAGGGCTGGCAGACGGTTTTCCGGTTAGCAGTTAACCGGACGGTTTCAACCGAATCGACCGGTTGTCAGCTAACCGAAAAACCGAACCTGAAGAGCACGGTCGGTTGACGGTAGAGCAAATCAGGGGGCCGGTTAGCCGACTAACCGGGGTCGAAAACCGGCGGTTAACCGGCTAACCGACCCCCTGCCCTTTCCTTAAACGACGCCGCATCCAAAGCCATCTTCCCCCCCTAGAGACCCGACCCTCTTCTCTTCCAACAAATCCCAAATCCCAAATCAACCAAACCCTATCCCAAATCCATTCCCCATTTCCCCTTCCCCTGGAGACCCGCTTCTCTTCCAACAAATCCCGACCCTCTTCTCTTCCGACGGTCCCGACGGCAGGACCCGAAACCCAAACAAGAAGCTCCCTCACCATTTTCCGCCTTCCCCTTCACTGCCCCTATTCCCATAAAACCCATTTTGCTCCCTCCTCCGCCTGAACAAGCTTCTCTCTGCTTCACCCAGCTTTCCCATTCATTCCCATTACCCCAAACAAAACCCAAAAAAATGCATGCCAAAACCGACTCCGAGGTTACCAGCCTGGCGCCGTCGTCGCCGACCAGATCTCCCCGCCGCCCGGCCTACTTCGTCCGGAGCCCCTCCCGCGACTCCCACGACGGCGAGAAGACCACGACGTCGTTTCACTCCACCCCGTTCCTCAGCCCCGTCGCCCCGCCGCCAACACCAGCAGAATCGAGAGAGAGAATCGAGGGAGGAGGCGAGAATAGGGAGAGAGATAGTCTGGGTCTGGGAAGAAGAATCGAGGGAGTTGGTTGTTCGATTTTCCTTCCAGAGGAAGAAGAGAATCGAGAGAGAGAGTAGGGAGAGAGAGAGTCTGGGAAGAGAATCGAGAAAAGGAGTGGAAGAAGAATCGAGAAACGGAGGGGTTAGGTTAGGAGTGTGTGGTGCAGATTTTTTGTTGCTTTTTTTTTTAAAGGTAGTTTCCGGTTGGCCGGCTAACCGAGTCAAAACCGGAAACCGGTCGTTCGGTTTGCGGCTAACCGAGGCTCACGGACGGTCGGTTGGCGGTAGCTCTGGTCGAGGTCTCGGTTTGACCGATAACCGACAATTTGGTTTTCGGTTAAACCGAAACCGACCGAGTGACAGCCCTACTGTATAGAGCCGTGGAGACTGGAGAGAGAGTTTGAAAATGAAAAAAAAAACCCCACTTCTCTCTTATATTTCTTCTCAATTTAATTACGATTACTAATTTTTTGTTTCACTAGCATTTGGTCACTGGATTTTTATAGATATTGGAGAAGGGTTTGAAGGCGAAATAAGAGTGAATTTTTTTAAAATGGTTGCGTGGTTCAGACCGTACCGCAAAGTGTGGTTTGTTCTGGATTGTATAATATATTCTTTGGTCCATGACTTGTGTTCCAACCTCTCAATCTGAACTACAAATTGTGTTTGTGATTTGATGTGATCCGAACCGCACCATTTCTCCCCGCTACTTATAGTGAGTCAAATGAGGAAAAACATTGCCCTCCTTCCGTAATAATCAAGCGGCTCCAGGGCGGATGTGGTCTTTTCAAGTTCCAAGTTTGAAAAAAAGAAGAAACTGAAAAGGAAGAGGGAACTCTGTTTTCACCGCAAAACGACAAGCACCGCCTAGTCCGACTTCCCCCCGACAAATGTCAGGGTGCATCGTCCTGCGCCACGTGGATGGTCCGATTTCAATTTAATCCCTCCAGCACACCAGCACACGCATAGCGATTAGCGGCATCAGGCAATACTTGAATCTCCAAACAGCCTTCCAGCTCGGCTCAACCATGGTTAAGAAATCATCCACCTCACCCCACTCTCCCCTAACCATGGTTAACTCACGTCGCCGCTTTTAACTCCCGGAATTTTTTTTAATCTTTTTCTCCCTTTCCCCCTTCTCCTTTTGTCTCTGTCCCAATCTCCCAACTCTCACCCTCTCTCTCTCTGACCGGCGGATGGATTTGCATCAGCCGAAACTCAGCCGCCTTTTGTGAACCCAACACGATGAGGCTCCGGTGACGACGAGTCACCGACTGTCTTTTTGACTCGCTCTTTTACTTCTTCCTCACAGAGCGTTAATTAAGCTGTTGTTATCACACTTCTTCTCCCTTCCTCTTTTACTTCCTCCTCTCGCCGTTGAAATTCTCAGTTTTCCTGTACAAAAAACCAACCGCCGGCTGCTCCGATTCCGTTAGCTTGGCGGTTGGTACTCTGAAATCGCCGGCTACCTTTTTTTTTTTTTCCTTCCAATTTTTTGCTGCTTAGAATCAGTTGAAAAAGTCATAGTGATTGTTGGTTTATCGATGGCGGAGATTGAGAATTCATCTCAAATGACGGTTTCCGCCGAAGCAAACAGCGCCTGCTCGTTCGGCGATCTCGCCTCTCCGCCGTTGCCGCCGACGAAGAAGAAGCGGAATCTCCCCGGAATGCCAGGTCGAAGCTCCGGAATAAAATAAAATAAAATAAAAACTTCACTCGTAGTCACTTTCAATCCCTCTTGATCCTAATTTTTTTCCCCCTTCCTTTTCGGTGGTTTCAGATCCAGAAGCGGAAGTAATCGCGCTATCGCCAAAGGCGTTGATGGCGACGAACCGATTCGTGTGCGAGATCTGCAACAAAGGATTCCAGCGGGACCAGAACCTGCAGCTCCACCGGCGAGGCCACAACTTGCCGTGGAAGCTGAAGCAGAGAGGGACCAAGGAGCCACGTAAGCGGGTCTACGTGTGCCCCGAACCGACCTGCGTCCACCACGACCCGGCCCGAGCTCTCGGCGACCTGACCGGAATCAAAAAACACTTCTGCCGAAAACACGGCGAGAAGAAGTGGAAGTGCGAGCGTTGCTCGAAGAAGTACGCCGTCCAGTCCGACTGGAAAGCTCACATGAAGACCTGTGGAACTCGCGAGTATAAATGCGATTGCGGCACTTTGTTCTCAAGGTATTAAGATTAATCAGAAATTCAGAACCTTACATTTCAATTCCCCCTTATCTTGGCTTAATTATCTGATTATATAAGTTTGTTTTAATTTCTTGTTTAGGAGGGACAGCTTCATCACTCACCGGGCGTTCTGCGATGCGCTGGCGGAGGAGACGATAAGAACGACGAATGTGCAATCGGTGACGAACAATCATCCAGCTAATGGTAATGAGAAGATGGCGGTGGCGGGAGTGGGGGTGGCTTCGCCACCACCACCGCCGCTTACGCCGTCGACAACCGTGGTTTCGCCGGGAAACTCTGTCCAAAGCTCAGGTAAGAACAAATACAGACAATATTTTTTTTATATGAATGTTCAGTTTAGTTGCCAATTATGGGTAAAAAGCTTTGATTTGCGAGAGGGTTAAGCGATTAAAGACAAAGGTCTTATTTTGCTATGCCTCTGATTCAGTGGAGACTTGACTTTGTTTTTTTAATTACTCGCTCCCTGCTTCTACTACTACCAACTCAACTCTTTTTATATTCCTCCTTTTTTTTTCCCCCTTTGTTTTTGTCTCTTGTTGATTGTTTGGTTCTCTTTGGATTCTTCGCTGGGGAATAAGATACATTAATGGCTGAAAATGGTGGTGGGTAGGCTTGTAAGTAGATGGATAGGTCAAAGTCCAACTCAAATCGTTACAGACTTGACTGATGCAATCCGCAGTGAAAATGGAATTGGGTTCGAGATAGATCTCAATTTAGTAATCTGCAAACTCAGTTCTGCTTTTGATTGAAGTGGTAAATTATTGGGATAGTAAATGAGTGGGATTGGACATTGGAGTGCCGTGGATCTCGAAAAGCTACCTTTCTTGCTCTGCTTTCTGTATTACAATAATGGAGGATGAAGTGCGATTTGAGGGGGAAAGGACGCCATTATTGCTCCTCCACATGTTGTCTTTGTTGCTTTTTCAGTTTTTTGTACCAAGCTTCCCCCTCCTCTGTCTGAGATTCAAATTTTTTTTTTTATCCGCGATAACGGTACCCTTTTTAGATTGCGTCTTTCTGTCTTCAATTTCGGTCACTTTCTATCTTGCTCTGCTTTTGGTTTCAGAATTAGCAGAGAATCCAACCATCTTGCCTTCCTCGGCCGTGACGACCGCAGCCGCCGCACCGGCGGCAGCTGCCAGCACGAGCTCAACGTGTACTACTTCAACCAGCAACGTCTTCGCCAGCATATTCACCACCACAACCACATCGACGACTGCGGCGGGGAGCTTGTCGTTCTCCAATCTGCTCCAGACTTTCACTCCACCGGACTGCCCGGTCACTATGCCGACCATCATGGAGCCTCCGCCGTCGCTGTCTTTATCCCCGCCGCCGCTCTACTTCTCTTCCCCATCTGCCGGCGGAGGAGGAGTTCAAGACCACCACCACCATCAGTCGGGTCATCACTACGGCCAGGCGACGATGTCGGCCACCGCACTGCTCCAGAAGGCGGCGCAGATGGGGGCGACGACGTCGAACCCGTCGTTCCTCCGGAGTTTGGGCCTGCAAATGTCGTCTTCGTCGTCGGTGACTTCTCATACCGAGGATCGGCATATTGGCAATCACCACCGTCATCATCAGTGGGACGTGAAGCAGGAGTCTGGAAGTGGGCTTGGGCTCGGCCTGGGCCAGCCCTTCGGGCCCACTACACTTGACCTTCTCGGCCTGGGCTTGGACTCCAGCTCCGCTCTCCTGAGCTCTTACAGCAATGGCTTCAACTATGCTGCTGCCGCAGCAGCTGCGGCCGCCGGCTCATACGGCGGCGGTGGAGGAGGAGGAGGAGGAGGAGGGAGGAGCTCGGAGGAGACATGGGATAATAGTACCGGCGGTGGGGCGGAGAGAAAGACTAATGGTTCAGCTGCCTCGCTGTAGTTTTGACCATGTGTATGATCTCTCTCCTCTCGACTTTCGGCCACCAAGTGTTTTTTTGTCTATTTCGTTTCTAGCGACGGCCGTCGGTAGTTCTTTTTGGCGACCAAAATCTTTTGTCGTCGTTGGGTTAAGTTAAAGTAGGGTTTCCGGCTCTCCATAGCAAGTATAGCTCAAAGGTAAAAAAAATTTAAGAGAGTAGGGCTTTCTTTTCTTTCTCTTTCAAGTTTATGAAGGTCTGTTTCGTTGTTTGGAACTCTCTTGTTTTGTTGCCCTCCTTTTGTCAAGTCAGGTTATATACTGAAATAGAGATATGTATATAAAGACAAAATTAGATGAATTATCTCCTTTACCTCTCTCTCTCAGGGTCACCTAGCTCCACGAGTATGATCCCTAATACTCGTGGAGTTAATTACCAACAACGTTATTGTCTTGTCGATCGACATACGTAGCCTTAGTCCCATTGTGACCTAAAACGCGGACATCTTATGTCTGCACCGGGGCATGCGGACTAGCATTTGTTGATCATCTTGATGGAGGATCGTTAGCAGGAGGTCTCACACATCTTTGATTTGTTCCTCTCCATATATCCATCCTTAATTAGTGATCTTGATGAGACGTTACACTTTTAATATATATCGAATTGGAACTTACTAATTGGGGGAGTGTTGTAATTAGCTGGAGCTTGCAACGTGTTTGTACCAAAATTGTGAGCGAGTCAAAGCTGCTGCGGGGGTCAAAAATGGCAAGCGGAAGGGCAAAGGACTGGAGCGTGGGGGGCCAGAAAAATTGGCGTGATGGTCAGAATACCGATGTAGGCTGCTGGCTTACTGCTGCGGCAGCAGAAGCAGGAGCAGGTCGCATTTAATGCGGTGACAAGTTAGATGTGGCTGGGTGAAGGGGCTGCTCCCTGCTGGATGTTTACGATTACAGAAACAGAAACAAAGAATGCATTTGCTTGCAGCTGCACCTCACATCATATGCAACAGTGATAGTTCTCATAATAGAGTCTATCAATTCAATTCTGCTGATAACTGCGTCGTCGTCCTCGTCTTGCTCCCTGCTTTTAATTGCTCCATGGTGGGTGGTCCTGCTTTACCCACCGGCCATCGCCTCTTTAGGGGCTTAACCAGAAAGATAGGGACAAGCGAAAAAACCGAAAGCAAGCAATTCTTTAGTAATGAATTAGATGCTTGAAAATAATGGGGGTGATGGATAGGATGGCCGATATAGGGCCTAATTTGGTATATTTGAGTAACGTAGTTTGCATATTGAGGAGGAACAACCCAATTATGGTATTCAGCAACTCATTCAGGAGAGCGTGCGCATAAGTCACACGGTTGTCGGATCGAATGCTAGGGTAGGGGGTGTAAGTTTGACACTAAAAGCCCACTGACTCGTCCCGTCCTTGAGGGTCAGGACGGGTCAGTTTGTCTATAGGGTCTATTTAGGGACGGGTCAGCTTTTGACCCTATAAAGGTCGGGACGGATCATTTTTTGACCCTGTGACGCTTAACAACAACAAATATCTTTCGGTACCAAAACGTAATTTGTAAAAAATGTTCTGTGTAGATTAGGGTCGACCCACTGACCCGTCCCATCCTTTGAGCGTCAGACAGGGTCAAGAAGGAGACAGGGACGGGTCAGGGCAATTTTTAGCCCTAATGTTAGGTGTTCTTCGGTTGTTGGATGGACGTGTGAAATTAAGGCTTTTTTCTTTCGTTATAGAATTCTTCGATAACTAAGCTTTGGGACTAAAACTTCATTCCTTCAGTCGATCAATATTTCATTCCTCAATCGAATGGCACTGGAACGAGTTCGTGTGTGCGCCCACGCGGGCTACCTATGCTTTATTCACACGTCATTCATTTTTTTTAGGAAATAAATATGACGAGAAAGGAAGAAAACCTCTATTGTCCGAGTACAGATTCAACTTATGTCCATTCATCCGACCGAGGGTATGGATAAATAACGAGGCCGCCTTCATAACCTTTTCGCTTATGTCCCTATGTTGTAGTTTGCTACTGCATTTATCCAACGGTCACAAAGAGGTTAGCGTGTAATCCGCCCCGATCGCGTGCTCATTGATGGGGCTATGAGCATTTGGGAAAATTTTGAAAAGGGGAAGAAGGATAGAGAGAAAATTATCCCAATCTCAAGACCACCCTAAAATCTCTTATTGGCCATATGAATCCAAAATTAGGTTGGATTAGAGAGAATTATCCCAATCTCAAAACAAAACTTCTCGTGTCATTATTGCAGAACAGAGCAATCTGAACTTGGATTTTTATATTGGTCAGCAGCATCATTAGATTTTCAAAACCCATTATTTAACAACCAAGTGGGAGTGTGGGCTTAGAGCCTTAGACCTTGTTCTTCTATGCTGGCCGCCGCCGCCCTCCAAAACAAGCTGCGCCAAAATCGAAACCAAGCCTCCAAAGTCAATGACTCAATTATCGACGACCAGTTGTGTTATTTTGATCACCCTCTTCTTCTAAGTGGGAATTGAACTACATTGCTTAATTTGCTTGACCCATAAAAAAGGGGTTGAATGTCTTCTTACGTGCTACATATGTCTTGTGGGGAAACTTATAAAAGATTAAAGAGAGAAAGGTTGTTGATTGGAGCGGTTTATTCTTTATAGAGAGAATGAGAATCCTTACATATGGATTGTTCGAGCTAGTTATTATATTATAGTTAGGGCCGCCCAATATTAGGGGTCCTTCACAGAATTGGGAGTCCCGGGTCCGGCACAGAATTTTCGAATATTAGGGATCCTTCATTGTAGGGTTGTTAGTTGTTTTGGTCCTATATTATATGATGAATTTGTGGTTTATGATTGATTATAATTATAATGATGAGCTTAAAATTGCTAATTGATGGTGTTAGTCATTGGTCAATATTCTCATGTATATTCGTCATTAAAGCCTTGTTTGTGTTTTAAAAGCCATATTTGTGTTATAAAATGACATATGATTTTTATGGATTGACGATGATGATTGAAAATAATTTCTCATAAATTAAAGAAATTGAAAATTGAATAGATAATATTTTCAAATTTATCGTTTAAAGAACGATGTTATAATCATTTCATTTCATTCATATCTTAAAAAATTGGACAACATCTCAATTTTAGAACATCGCCTTCACAATCCATTGGATGGTCCTGAACCAGTTCCACCATACATAGAGGTGGCAATTATGATCCAAATCCATGAATCCAATCCAATCCATCCACTAAATTATCCACCTAATCCAATCCATTTAAATCCAATCCATTTGATCCAAATCCAATTGGATTGGTGGATTCATGGATCAATCCATGGATCCAAATGGCAAATTACAATTTGGTACCTATATTTTTTATATTTTACATTTTGGTACCTAAAATTTATATTTTTATACGAAAAATATCATTGGAAAATTACATTTTGGTACCTAAAATTTTTCATTATGACATTTTAGTACCTAAACTTTTCAAAATTTACATTTTGGTCCAAGCCTTGGATGTCATTTTGGATTCATGGATCAATCCACCAATCCATTTGATCCAATCCATGAATCCACCAATCCATTGGATCCAATCCATTTGATCCATGGATCCACCAATCCAATCCGCGAATCCACGAATCCGATCCAATTGCCACCTCTAACCATACATGACCAATCGAATCAAAGACTTATGGCGCTCAAAATCCAATCCTTGATTTTGATTGGATTTGCCTTCAATGTCCACTAGACATCCACTTCTCTATACATTACTAAACAAATTACTAGCTTGTTTGCCCAAACTTTGAATTCCATCCACAACACAAACAACCAAAAGGAGAAGGTTACCCTTCCACACCTATATGATAATTAAACTCTTCCAATAATTTGAGTTATCAAGAGCACGGATTCCTCATTTGATATTAGAACTTTATGTGACCATCGAGAAGTCTTCTATTCTAATCTCGATAATCTCCATCTATATTATTAAGGGTTAATACCTTAGTTTGACCCGAACTATACATAAACTTTCTACTTTGGCCCGTGGTTTCAGAAATTGTTTTTCTGGGCGGAACTATGTATCATACTTACTTATTTGGCCTAGAGGCGGCTTTGACCGTTAAATTGAACGGTCAACAGAGTTGACCGTTAGTCAATGGCCAGCTCACTTGGCCACGTCAGCGAGCAAAAAATAAAATATTGATTTTTTTTGAATTTCTATATTTTTATAAGAAAGGAAATAAAAAATTATGTTTATTATTATTATAATAAAGGAAACAATACAAAAATTCAAAAAATAATTTTTTTTATTATCTGCTTGCTGGCGTGGCCAAGTGAGCTGGCCATTGACTAAGGGTCAACTCTGTTGACCGTCCAATTTAACGGTCAAACCTGCCTTCGGGCCAAATAAGGAAGTATGGTACATAGTTCAGGCCAGAAGAGCAATTTTCGAAACCACATGCCAAAGTAGAAAGTTAGTATATAATTCGAGCCAAATTAAGGTATTAACCCTATTATTAAACATATAATAACCGAATCTGTACAAATTTCAAACTCATATAAAGTCGAGGATGTATGTCGATAGTCAATGGTACATCACACCTACCACCCTCCACTTGATCGAGCACCAACTAGTGGCTACATATTCTATTAGAAAGCTCCACTTCTACAAGTGTACCGTCGAGCAAATATATACCTTATTTCCCCCAGCGCTTGTTGCTCTTATTTACCCATCAAGTTCCGTTCACCAAATCATGCATTTCCTCCTTTTCCCGCTCTTCGCCGCCGCCGTCATAATCATCGTCAAATTCGCCTACTCCGTCATCTGGCTCCCCTACGCGATCCAGCGCCACTTCAAGGCCCAAGGCCTCGCCGGCCCAGGGTACCGCCCGATCACCGGGAACGCCGCCGAGACCTCCCGCCTGTTCGCTCGAGCCCAGTCAAAGAAGCTCGAGGCGGCCGGCGGCGGGATCTTCGGCCACCGGGATGTGGTGGCCAGGGTGTCCCCGTCTTATTATGAGTGGGCCCGCGTGTACGGGAAGACTTTCTTGTTCTGGTTTGGGGTCCGGCCCAGGGTGGCGATATCGAGCCCGGAAGATGTGAAAGAGGTGATGCTGAACACGAGCGGGTCGTTCGGGGAAGTCCGGTTCAACCCGTTGTCCAAGTTGCTGTTTGGGCAGGGCCTCGTGGGCCTCCAAGGGGAGACTTGGGCCCTCCATCGGCGGATCATCAGTCAGGCCTTCAACATGGAGAGAGTAAAGGTCAGTAAAGCACTTCAACCTTTTTTTTTTCTTTCCATTTTCTAATATTGAAATTTTGTTAATTCATGCCGAAGGTAAAAAAAAAAAAAAAAACAAAAATTTGGACAGTGATGGCAATGGAACCTGCATTAAGCGAGTCAGGTCGGGCACGGGTATGGCTGGGTGGTTCGGTGTTAATTGGAAAAAAGAACATCATTATTTAATTGTTGTACAAGAAGACATAGATAAAATATTTCATAAATGAATGAAAAGCATAGTAGAACGAATAATTGAGTCAAACTAGTTAAACAGCAGAGTTTTGAATTCTTTTAGAGATGAAAGTATGATTTTTAAAAAGGTCAAAAGAGGAGAATACATGTAGATATTAATGCAAATCATGATAGAACATGTCAAAAAGAGGAGGACGGTGCGGGTAGGTCGTAAGCAATACACATGCCCCGACCACACTATCACGGGTTGGGTAATTCCTGCTACACGTTACCACGGGCCGGATAATTGACGCCCCAATCAGGTCGAGACATGTCGAGTCGTGCGAGTCAGGTTAGAAATTGTGTTTACTAAACTTGGACGTTGTAAGATTGCAAAGGTGTTAACGCTCTAATGTTAAAACATGCATCGATCTAACCGTTGATACTCCACGGCAGCAAGATTTGATGCTTTCTAACATATTATGGTTGCTATCCGTATTAGCGTAACAACCTGATTTCTCTATCAACCATAAATTTCATTTGGATGGTGAGTAGGAATGGGTACCTGAGATAGTGAGTTGCACAACTAAGATGTTGGAGAAGTTAGAGGGAATAAGAGCAGAAAGGGAAGAGTTTGAGATCGACGCTCACCGAGAAATGCATGATGTATCAGCAGATGTAATCTCGAAAACTACACTTGGTAGCAGCTTCGAAGAAGGAAAGCGAATCTTCGCACTCCAGGATCAACAAACCCACCTCGTCGCTCAAGCCCTAGCCAATGTTTACATTCCCGGATTCAGGTAAACGAGTAAGTTTATACCATATCTACTTACTTATAAAATTGTTCAAATGAGTTGTATTAAAATAGTTAGCATAACCATTATAATCTTATTTAAGGTTCTTGCCCACAAAGAAGAACAGAGAGAGGGCGAGATTGGAGAAGGAAACTCGGGACTCCATTAGGGCGTTGATTAAAAGAAGAAATGGAAGGGTCGGTGGGAGTTCTAGAAATCTCATTGATTTACTAATGTCTCCGTACAAGAATCAGGATGGAGTGGAGGAGAAACTGGGAGTGGAGGAAGTGATAGACGAATGTAAGACGTTCTACTTTGCAGGGAAAGAGACGACAGCTAATCTCTTGTCTTTTGCTCTACTTCTGTTAGCAAATCACCATGAATGGCAAGACAAGGCTCGAGAGGAAGTGACACGTGTCATTGGAAGAGGCAAACCTCTAGGTGCAGACAATCTAAGCGATCTTAAAATTGTAAGTGCTCCGTACTAATGTCTTCCACCATCCAATCCTGTTAAAAAAAATTGTGACAGTCAACTATTCTGCTTTGATCTTTAAATGATATGACCCCTTGACATAGGCTTGGTGGACACTGAATATTGATACCACATTTTAACAAGTGATAACTATATGTATTCTCTTTATCCTACTCCTTTTTTTCTCAGTTGAACTTGATAATCCAAGAAACTCTACGAATGTACCCTCCAGCTGTGTTACTATTAAGGGAGGCGACGAAGAAAGTTAAGTTGGGCCGCCTGGAAATTCCGATAGGGACGCAGTTCTACGTGCCTTTGATTGGGATCCACTACGACATTGAAGTATGGGGAGAAGATGCTCACGAGTTCAATCCACTGCGGTTCAACGAGCCAAGCAAACATCTAGCTGCCTACTTTCCATTCGGTATGGGCCATAGAATCTGTGTGGGCCAAAATTTGGCCATTGTCGAGGCCAAGATAGTGTTGGCCATGATCATTCGAAACTACTCCTTCGTGTTGTCGTCAACTTATGTTCACGCACCTTTCCACTTCATCAGCTTGATGCCTCAGTATGGTGCCCAGTTGGTCTTTAGGAAGGCTTTCTAATTCTCGAGTGCAAAACAAGTGTTTAAGCCTTAAGGTATGCTTTGTGAGGGGAATTTGGCCAAAACGGAAGGTGCGTTTGGGCCGGTGTTATGAGTCCACCGCATCATTTATGTCTGACTTGACGATCAAGCTTAATTGTCAATGACTATTTTGTGTCATTTTCATTCTTATACTTTGTAGTGTTGGCCATAGTCGTCGTTGCAAAAAGATTCGCTCATGTTCGTAAAAGTGATTAAAGTATAGGTTATTTACTAGAATTTACTTTGCCTCCAATAATTACAATGCATATAAATAACTCGTTTTTGTGATTCAACATAACTTGTAACCTGTATAATATACCCAATTGTGCACACAACCACATAAATTCCTATCCTAGACCTTAAGATTGAGGTGATTGCCTTGGTTATAGTTAATAGTTAATGACATAATAAACTTACAGATTAACTATAAAGGAGGGAAATCGTTAGTGCAGTGAAAACCCTTAAACATATTTGATCCTCTCTTTACAATCCACTAATTGTTGAGAATATATGAGATCCATGGCAATATCTGGCTTGTAAATAAGATTCCATTTCGGCAATATTGATTAGTGAGCCTAATGATACCCTTTAAAAGGCTATTCTTCAATCAACATTGCCACTATGGTCACGCGGCTAAGATTAACTCTCCCAATTTCCTTCATTACTACCACACCAAGGTGTAAATTGTCTAATGATACCCATTAAGATGTCATGTCCATTTCTCATCCTATATAAACCTTCCAAATCCCTAGTCAAAAGCCCCAAAACACAAACCACATGATACAATCTAAGCCAGAAAAGATATAAGGAAAAGACAAGACAAACGAGGAAGTCGACCATGGCAAACACACTCATCACATCACTATTGCTTCTTCTAATCTTGCTCGTGATCACAACACCTTCATCGGCATGGAGCTTATGGCCGTACAAGCATGTTCACGTAAGCAACGAGTTGACAACGTACAACGGTGTCTTGCACGTTCACTGTTGGTCCAAGAACGATGACAGAGGAGTTCAAGATGTGGGTGTTGGGACGGAGTTTACGTGGAGGTTCAAGCCCAACATATTTGGGACGACCAAGTGGACGTGCGAGGTGTCGACGGATGATCATCGTCGGGCTAGCTTTGATTCATACTGGGAGGATCTAGGCCAAGGGAGGAGAGAGTACAAGGAGAACATCTTTTGGGTTGCCGAAGAAGATGGAGTTTATCTTAGGATTATTCAAGAGAATAGAGATCAGTACTGGGCAAAGTGGCAATCACAATAGGTTTTAGAACTACTTTTTTTTTATACCGTTATTTGGATTTGAATAAGGTTGGAGCAATATAGCTCTCTCACATCATTTTTTTTTTGACAAAAGATAATCAAGTAGATTGATGAGAGATAAGAGTTACATCCTGGAATTAAGCCAGGCCTGAAAATCAAAGAACCGACTCGTAGCCGGATACAATGTAAGGGCCTTCCGAGCCACTAGATGGGCTACCCTATTGTTCCTCCGACCTACAAATCTAATCGAAAACCCGGGATGAGCTACAAAATACTGAATAACTTCCTGCAGCACAGCACCCATCCTGCTATCTCTGGCGTCTGCTTGGTTGATTTTATCAATGACCGCCTTAGCATCGCCTTCAAACCTCACAACCTCGACCCCATGACCTACGCATCTTAAAATCGCCTCCCGTAGGGCCAGTAATTCCACCACAGCAGGGTCCTGCACACCGGGGAACTGGATTCCTTGCACAAAGAGGACGTCCCCAGTCGAATTGAAGAGAACAAATCCACCAGCTGAATGTGTTCTATGACTAGTAGCCCCATCCCACTGACATACTACAGCGTCTGCCAGAGCAGACCCGGACGTCCGGGGTAGGGGAGGCACAGACCGGGAAACCGACTCAACTGGCAAGTGGACCCACTCCTCGACTTGCTGATGGAATTGACGCAGGAGCACCGGGACCCCAAACTGTTTTCCTTCAAAAACAACCCAATTTCTGGACCGCCAAATCCTCCATAATACAGCCACCACAGCCATGGTCATAGCAGGATCACTTATCCGAGCGAGTGTCTCTCACATCATATTAGCTTAAAAGATTATTTGTATCACTGTTGTTGATTAGTTGTCTTTATTCTCAAAAAAATTATGCTTCTAAAATGATAATAGGGTCCCTTCCAAATTTGTGTATTTGTTTATCCACATTATGCAACATAGTGAATTTACCCAAAGCCAAAATTCAACAACAGAAGGGAACTACTATGGCTTTTTTTTTTTATTCACACGAGAATTATATATATTCATGGATTGCAAGTTTCGATTTATCAAAATATTTCAAATATTTTCCCCCAATTATGTAACAACAAAAAATGAGATTAATTTAGTGATGTTTTGCACGCAACAATATAATTACGAGAATTTACATCTCAAGATCTACTAATTAGTGGTCGGATCACTACAGCTTCATGGTTAACATGTTAGACAAAAAGAAATAGATTTAATGCAGTTATAACTTTCACGATTTTGACAAATATAGCGACTTTTTGAAAAATACACAAATATAGCCACATTTTGAAAACTCGCCACGTCACTTATTTAACGGTCAACTTTCAGAGTTGACTGACACGTTAGATAAAGCTAACGGAGACTAACGGAGAGTGACCAAACTTGAACTGTTGAACTAATTTGAGTGACTACGGGTGGAATAAAAAAAATTAGTGACAAACATGAAATTTTTAAGTAATTCGAGTGACCAAACTTGGTGGCTAATTTGTCACATAAATAATCTTGTACATATATCATAGTACAAATTAAACTTCTAAGAGATCTTATTTGAAAATGGAACTTGTATCTCGTATGATACCAATTGAACTTGTGTGAAGACTTTGTCTTGGTGATCCAACATCCTTTTTACGATTCCAGCGTTTTAATTAGAAAATCGCTTTTAAAAAATCGGTTCAAAGATAAACATTATTCTGTGAAGGCAGCCGCCGCAGTATATATATATACGCAAGCTTGAAGCCGCCTCAAAAGTCTAAACCTTTTTAGATGATTAAGAAGTCCAAAGATTCCATGATTGGCGACTAATGCTGTAGCTTTGATCACCCTATTCTATTCTAAAGGGAAGTTAACTCTAATTAACCCATAATAAAGTTGTTGAGTGTTTTTCTACGATGCTTAATTAATTAATATTGGGTTTGTATAATTGCGAAGAAATACGGGTCTACCTTTCTCTAAGTATACCAGCCCCAACGATGAAAATGGAGATGAACAAAGAAGATGTGTTTCATTATCGGGCGCTCTATAGTTAGGGGAGGCAATATGAGAAGCGATTATCAAGAACTGAAGCCCATAATATTTCTTCATCAATGGAAGATAATAATTGATGGGGTATTTATAGAGAGAATAAGTATCTGACACCACGTCGAACCAGTAATTTTTATCGATGAATCCATATCCATTTGATTGGTTTGTGCTTCTTCTGAGAATGGACATGTTCAGTAAACAATTCGATTACTAACTGATTATGCACTACTTTTTACTTTTTTCCTCCAGTAAATTTAATCGGTTTTAAATTTTTTAGACAAAATGTGTCAGATTAATTGTGTTCTTCGAAATGATTTCGACTTTAAATGAATTATTAGTTATTTCAATCATCTCACGGTCAAAGTGCTATATGCCATATTTATTTTTTTCGCCCGATAAATAATTTGAACCAAAACAACTCATTGAAATACTTCATCCAAACAATTCCATGAATTATTTAGATAAAAAAAACTCATACAAACAACTCATTGCAACCACTCTCTGTTGAGTAGTATGTATGGGCTTCGGCCCACTTCCCTAGTCACGGATGATTATTGTCAGTGACCTAGGGTTAGCCGAGTAGTGGTCTAGGGTTGGAGACCCTAGTTTGTATATATACGTATGTAAGTGAATTTGTTAAGGTTAAGCTGAATAAGAGGAAAACCTAGCTTCGACCGTGGACTAGTCTCGTTCATATAGAACGAGGAAACCACGTAAATCTGTGTGTCGATTTCTATTCCTGTTTTGATATTCCTGTTACGATTAACACTCTCGTTGCCATAGCCAACTAAATTATTTTGTCTTGTCTCATTTTATGAATTCTCTTAGATTGCATGAATCTAGATATACATGGCGATCACTATTCAACGTAAAGAATTTACTTCAAAGGTCCACTAAATGTCCATTTCTCTATGTAACTAAACTAACTAGCTTCTTTGTCCCAACTTTGAATTCCATTCAACACAAACATATACCTACTACCCTCCTCATGACTTCACAAAACAAAACTTGGAAAAATTAAATCATTTCCTCCGCTCGATATAACATCTCTCCATCTGATCGAACACCTATATATTCCGAGGAAACTCCACTTCTAAAAATGCACTGTCGAACAACACTAAACAGCAGTGTTTGTAATTTCCACTAACAATGCAATTCCTCTTCCTTTTCCCGCTCCTCGCCGCCGCCGTCATACTCGCTAAATTCGCCTACTCCGTCCTCTGGCTCCCCTACGCGATCCAGCGCCACTTCAAGGCCCAAGGCGTCGCCGGCCCAGGCTACCGTCCGATCAACGGGAACAATGCCGAGACCGGCCGCCTCTCCGCCCAAGCTCTGTCTAGGAAACCCGAGTCGGCAGCCGGCGGGATCTTCGGCCACCGGGACGTGGTGGCCAGGGTGTCCCCGTTTTACCACGAGTGGGCCCGCACGTACGGGAAGACTTTTTTGTTCTGGTTCGGGATCCGGCCCAGGTTGGTGATATCCAGGCCCGACGATATCAAACAGGTGATGCTTAACACGAGCGGGTCGTTCGAGCAGGCCCGGTTCAACCCGCTGGGCAAATTGCTGTTCTGGCAGGGCCTCGTGGGCCTCAGAGGAGATACTTGGGCCCTCCATCGACGGATCATAAGCCAGGCATTCAACATGGAGAGAGTTAAGGTCGGTAGTAAAACAACTCAAGTCAATTTCTTTTTTGCCAGATTGTCTAAAACATAATGTATTAGTAAATCACGTTAACATATTGTCATTCATTTTTTTTTTATGTCGATAGACAATGTATTATAATAATTCATCTTCAAATATTAATGTGTTTCGATTGTGAGCAGGAATGGGTGCCGGAGTTAGTGGCATGTTCTGATAAGATGTTGGAGAAGTTCGAGGGAATAAGAGGAGAAAGAGAAGAGTTTGAGATCGACGCTCACATGGAAATGAACGATGTAGCGGCGGATGTAATCTCGAAAACTACGCTCGGGAGAAGTTTCGAAGAAGGGAGGCGAATCTTCGCACTCCAGGATCAGCAAGCTCACCTTGTAGCTCAAGCCCTAACCAACATCTACATTCCCGGCTTCCAGTTCTTGCCCACAAAGAAGAACAGGGAGAGGGCGAGATTGGAGAAGGAAACTCGAGAATCCATAAAGGCGTTGATTCATAGAAGAAATGAAAGGGTTAGAGGGAGTTCCAGAAGTCTCATTGATTTGTTGATGTCTCCTTACAAGAATCAGGACGGATTGGTGGAGGAACTCGGAGTGGAGGAAGTGATAGACGAATGCAAAACGTTCTACTTTGCAGGGAAAGAGACTACCGCTAATCTCTTGTCTTTTGCTCTGCTCATGTTAGCAAATCATCAGGAATGGCAAGACAAGGCACGAGAGGAAGTGATTCGTGTCCTTGGAAGAGACAAATCTCCAGTTGCAGACAATCTAAGCGATCTTAAGATTGTAAGTGCTATGTACTAATGGTCATCCTCCATCCAATCCAATTAAAAATCTCACCTGGCAGTCAATTATTCTACTTTCATCGTAAAATGATATGGTCCATACCCTTTTTTCTCAGTTGAACTTGATAATCCAAGAAACTCTACGAATGTACCCTCCAGCCGTGTTACTATTGAGGGAGGCAACGAAGAAAGTTAAGATGGGCCGCCTGGAAATTCCTACTGGGACAGAGTTCCACGTGCCTCTAATTGGGATCCACTACGACTCAGAAATCTGGGGAGAAGATGCTCACGAGTTCAATCCGTTGCGGTTCAACGAGCCTAGGAAGCATTTGGCTCATTACTTCCCATTCGGGATGGGCCCAAGAATATGCGTGGGTCAGACATTGGCCATCGTCGAGGCCAAGATAGTGTTGGCCATGATCATTAGAAACTACTCCTTCGTGTTGTCGTCGACTTATGTTCATGCGCCTTCCCACTTCATTAGTTTGATGCCTCAGTATGGTGCTCATATGGTGTTTAGGAAGGCTTTTTAATCCGTGTTGCAGAAGGATATGAAGATGTGCGCCAAAAAAACAAACTTTGAATTTGAGTATGTATCTTTTAGTCAAAACGTGTGGATTTGGTTTATTCAGTTTACTCGTTAAAGTTATATTTTGTGCCATTTAATTCATAAAAAGTGTTAGTGTTAGTTTAGAGTTTGCAATCGAGTCTTGTTCATCATGGTTGCTGGTTTTCAGAGTTGAGAGGTTAGTAGTTCGCAATGTTTATGTCGAGATTGCTGGGCATATTGTGTGTATTTTATGTTAGAGTCTTTCATTCAATAATAAATTTGTTAAATTGCAACACATTTGCATTTACAACATCTAATAAATTCAGAAATATATGAAATTTGTGTAGGAATCCGCAAGGATCCTTTTTGGCTCAAAGACATGTTATATAATGTCATTTCCTCCGGGGAAAATACGTTTTCTGTCAAACTAGTTTATATGGTGTATAATTGATGGTAGGATATCAATTTCTAAAATCCCTAGCCTAAAGTAGACTATTTGGCTATAATTCTTGCTATAATAATAAGGTATTAACCCATAATAATATGATTTTGTTAATGTGTCAAACAATCCTCAAACTTGGGCCATAAAAACTGTTTATCTCAACGGGCCCAAGCTTGGGATTAGGTAAGGGCCTAGTCCGTTACTGTCTCTACTCTCTAGTCGCGAAACTGGAACTTGGAAGCATGCCCAGTTCACATCTCTTGTTGGCAATCCTCTGAATATCAGAACAAAATTAGTAGGAGAAAACCCCGCGGCGGCCGCTGAACAGCCGGCGACGAAGACTTTTTATTCACCTCACCTCCCGCTCTCCGATCGGCCAGCGACCGAGCTCGAAGAAGAATCAATCTCGAGACTCTCAGGTGAGTTTGGGTAACTTATTTATCAGTCTTGAACCCTAAAGCCTCAGATTTTTATTTTTATGTTCGGAATCGAATTCAATCCAATCGCTGGTTGCATAGGGTTTCCTGTTTCTTGCTTTTCTCAGGGTTTTCTTCCTAATCGCGAGCTGATATCAGTTTTGAATACCATGACTGTTCTTTTCCCCCACAGGCGATAAGCTCTGAAACGATGTTCAATTTGACCTCGAGGCTCTGCAGAGGGTTGAATCTGAAGGAGCTAGTCACTAATGCCCCTGTCTATGAAACCTTCACCGGTAAACCTTTCAATCTGATTCCATTTCAGTTCTCCGTTTCAATCCCCGGCGTAAATCTCATTCTGTTTGTAATTTAATGAAATGAAATAAATGTATGGTTCTTGTTTCCAGATGGGTCCGCCACCGGCGGCCTGAACGTGATGTTCCGCCGATGGGCTACAAAGAAGACTGCTGGATCCACAAAGAACGGACGAGACTCCAAGCCCAAGAACCTGGGAGTCAAGAAATTCGGTGGGGAGGTTAGTTGCTGCGAACTTGCTCTACTAGAACAGAGGAACATTCAATCTTGTGACGGAGAATGAGAGGCTTTTCCATTTGTGTGTAGAGAGTGATTCCGGGGAATATCATAGTTCGGCAGCGAGGGACGCGATTTCATCCTGGAAACTACGTCGGGATCGGGAGAGATCACACTCTGTTCGCATTGAAGGAAGGAAATGTCAAGTTCGAGACTCACAAGCTCAGTGGTCGGAAATGGGTTCACATTGTCCCCAAAGAAGGCTATGATCTCCACCCTGTTTATGCCGATGCAAGCTCTGGTTCCCCAGAAATGGCGATGAAGACCGCATCTTGAAAAAATTCAAACTGATCAGCCTGGTGTTATCAATAACCCTCTCTTTCAACTTTCTTTGTTGGTCTCTTTCATGTACTTCGGATTTGTTAAGAGGGAAGGAAGAACAGATTTTGTGGAACAAAATACACACTTTTGATTTCAACACTTGCAAGCTCTGCTGTAGGGAAAATGATCAATTACAGTGGTGGGGGGTGGAAAAAAATTTGCGGCCTGTTTCTGGAAAACCATAAACAAGCTCTCAAAAATCTAAAGAATCTCGGAACAATGATGATCGATTGATTGATCAGTGCACTTTGTCAAAACTGTTGTAGGGATCCACTTTCAATGCTAGAAATCTGGCTCTTGCCGCTCTATGTCTTGAATCTCAAGTGGCTCGGGGAAAATCTCATTCGACAGTCTCTTACTGTAGTCAATCCCACCGCTGTTATGAGATCCTATTCTTACCGGTTGCTTTGATCCACCAACTGCTCCGGCATTCTCCGAGGAGCTATGCCGCCAGCTCCCAAAGAATGCAGTGCTCCAGGATGACCTCCTCGACGATGTCGTTCTGAGGCGTCCTGAACCGTAGCTATCTGTCCTTACTACTTTCAAAGGGTTCTCTAATGCTTTCAGAATGTATTTCATGGGAGGACGTTTGGAAGGCTTGGGATTCAAACACGACCTGGCAACGATCGCCATGGCCCAAACCTCTTCTAGCAGGTCCTCATCAACCATCATTGATGGATCAACGATCTTGGTCACCAGCTCTTTGTCGTAGATGCTGATATAAGGGAGCATTTGGTCGAGCCAATCTCGCATCATGGCATCATCTGATTTGTTGCTGATTCCAAGCTTGCCTGTTACTAGCTCAAGGAGGACCTTGCCGAAGCAGTAGACATCATGTGCACATGTCGCCATTAATGCTCCTGAAGAGCCTCCAGCTTCTGATGATCTGTTAAAAATAAAGAGTTTTGAGTTGGTATAGAGCAAAGAACAATCAAAGATCAAGGTGATGGGGAGAAAAGAGCTGAGAAAATACTTACTGTTGTTTTCTCAAGAACCTTGTGATGATCTTGTTGTGGTGTGACTCTCCGCCTTCCTGGACACGGACCGAGCTTAAGCTTCCAAGTCGAACTTCAAACTTGTCGTCGAGAAGAATACTGCTCGCTTGAACATCCCTTTAGAAGATCAAAAGAACATGCATTGAGTGAGCAACTGCAATCAAGTCTATTACCCTAACTTGTGAACTAAAAACCTTTTTCAATGAAAAGGTTTGAACTTTGATAAGGATTTCTTGCATAGAATACCTATGAACAACAGGAGGATTACACTCATGGTGCAGGTAACAAAGGCCTTCAGCAGCTCCAGTAGCTATCTTCAACCTTGTGATCCAATCCAATGACTTCAAACTGTCTTCTTCGTCAACATTGCTAACCCTGTGCAACGAGCTGCCCAAGTCTCCATTCACCATATACTTGTACACCAGAAACTTCTCATTCTCATTCTCCAAACAATGCCCTAAAAGAGGCACCAGTCTGACATGAGAATACTTGCTGAAGAATTCCAACTCCATCAATTCCTTCTTGGCAGAACGAGAATCGATCCTCTTCACCACAATCGGGCTGCCTCCTTCAAGGAAGCCTTGGAATAGATCTCCAGAATGGCCATGTTTGATCAGATTCTTGTCTGTAAACTCACTTGTTAAGCTGCTGAGCTGTTGATATGTGAATGACTCACCAATACCAGACATTAAACTGAGATCTTTTGCCACTGATGGAGGATCATCATTATTATCTCCTTCAGGAACCGGTCCAACGTTAGCACTTCCTCTTGGGCTTGATCTGTTCCTGTCAAACTTCCTGAGAAGCAATACCATCACAATAGCCAGGACCAAGATGAAGCCTATTCCGCCAACCACCCCTACTAAGATGTATATCCATTGCTTACTTCGTGATCTACCGGGATTGAATTCTGGTGATGGTGATGGAGCCCCAAAGTCGTCGAAAGACAACCCTCTCCGAGAGTAAAACATTCTGCAATCCTCCAAACTCCTTTGATCCGGAACTGCTTGTAAGCAGTTCAAGCTAAGAGCCCGATTTCTTGGAGTTCTTCCACCATTGGGTACCTGTCCTTGGATGTAGTTTCCAGATAGATCAACGGAACTGAAGACATCGAACTGGGACGATAGAGCTCCATACAACAAATTGTTCGATAGATTCAACGCTGCTGAACCAGATGCATTGCCATTGAAACCAATGCTCTGCATATCACCTGTGAAGTTGTTCCCAGAGACATCCACAAGCTGCAAATCAGGCAATGCAAACAATGCGCTTGGCAATCTACCCTCTAGCCGGTTGCTCGAAATTACTATATTCTGCAAGTTGTATAGCTTGGATAATCCATCAGGCAATGAACCAGAGAGTGAGTTCTTGCTGAGATTAAGGTCAACCAACTGAGATAAAGCACCAAAATCACCCGGGATCAAACCAGCGAGGCTGTTATCAGATAAATCCAAGGATTTGAGCATGGAAATGTTGCCCAATCCGGGTGGAATCGACCCGGATAAGTAATTGGAAGAAAGATTGAGACTTGTCAAGTTACTGAGTGAAGCCAAACTTGCTGGGATCGACCCAGTAAGCAGATTCCTAGAGAGGTCAAGAATTGACATTTGACTCAGCTGCCCCAATGTAGATGGCATAGAGCCGGCGAGCTGATTTTCAGAGAGGTACAGAGCATTGAGCTGAGTTAACTCACCGAGTGAAGCCGGGATCGGACCGGTGACTGAACTCGACCGGAGATCAAGCACTCGGAGCGACGACCCGAACTGCGACCCGAACCAGCCCGGGATGGAGCCCGGAAGGGCGAATCCGGAAGCGTTGAAAACCTCCAACGAAGTGAAATTCGCCATGGCGTCGACGGAGAACCCGGGATTCAACCGCCCAACCCGGGTCCTCCTGAACCCGGAAACGTTGATTCCGGTGACCCGGCCGTCGCCGCCGCACCGGACTCCCTTCCAATTAGCGCACGGGTCCGATTTTATCGGCCAGTCGGAGCTTCGGATCCCTAATGAACCTCGGAGATCGACCAGCGCCCTCCACTCCGCCCGCGAGCTCAGCAGCACGCTCCTCTGCTGCGCTGCCGCGCAGTGAATCAGAGCCCAGATCAGCAGAACCAACCGGAGCAAACCCCGCCGGAATTCTTCCATTCAGCTAAGAGATAAAGTTACTAAATCCCAATATTTCAGTGTAGGGACAGACTTAAACAAAAAAAAAAAAAAAACTGGATGGCCGTTCAATCAAAGAGTCGACTACTCATCGCCGCATTCGCCGGCGGCGGGAACGCGCTTCTCTATCAATAGCTTTATTTAGCTCCGCTCTGAAAACCCAACACAAAGGAAAAGTCTGAAAGGGGGGAAACTGAAAAAGGGAGAAATCGGGGGTTTTGTTTTTGTTTATTTTATTATTGTGACTAATCAATAAACTAATCAAAATAAATAAACCCTTTTCCTCGCGGATTGCAACATTCTCACCTCCAATCACGAGCTTTGATTCTGCAATCGAAGCAATTGTTTTCTCTAATACTCTGTTTTTTCTTCTTCTTTTCTGCCTTCCCAGTTAGCCGTTGTTGTTACTCTGTTCCTTCTTCCACGACTAATCTTCTTCTTCTTCCACCCTCTGTCCCTTCCTAATAAACAAATGCTTCTGAGCATTTAATGCCATCCCAGGCTGTCTCAACTCAATCTCAATCCCGAAAGAAATCTATTAGAAAAAAAGAGGGCCAGGCCACCTAATTCCCACAAAAGGGAAAAAAAGGGTGAAAAAAACAGAGTATGGATGAGGAATTGATGAATAAGGAGAAAGAAAGGAAGGGAAGAGCATTAATGGTGGAAGTGGTGTGGGGCGGGATGAATGACTTCCAACCAACCGCCGAGATGGTGGTGGTGGTGGTGAGAGTTATGTTGCCGAGTCGCTTTCAGCTCACTCTTTCTTCCTTTCTTCCTCACCGGAGAGATAGCTTTTAATGAAAACCCAGCAGCCCTTTCCTCTGTGCTTTAAGTTTAAATTACCATGGCTAATCTGGGTCGAATCAGGACTCGCAGAAGCCAATTTCTTTTGTGGGTTTATTGATTTTTAGTGGAGAGGAAGAAGAAGGAGAAGGAAATGGTGGGTGGGTGGCTTGGTTTTGACCGGCTTTAAAAAGCTGTCATGGCAACAGTGGGCAGCCAGCCACCCAGTGCCCAGTGGCAAAAGAGGCCTTTTTTCCCTCTTCCTCTTTCCATGTTCTGAATCAAATCTGGTTCATGTTGTTGTTTGATTGATTGCTTTTGATTTTGTGTAATTTGCAAGGATTAAAATATCGTAGTGTACCGGCGGTTCGACCTGAAAAACCTTTTACGGGAAATAAATTTAGTAGGCGGTATTTAACGATATAATACGGTTGAACCATGATTAAACCACGGTTTTAGCATAAAATACCCTGTCGCTGACTTATCCGGTAAGGTATTTCAATCCTTGGTAATTTGTTATACGAGGTAATTTAGTTAAAGTCAATATCTTTTTCCCCCTTAGATGAGATCTTAGTAATTCTTAGGTGTAGATTTGTTTCTCTAAACTCGAATTTGAAGTTACTTTCAATTATGAACTCTTGTAGTCCCCTTAGAAATTAGATATAATGGAGGTGGTTCATCGTTTAATTCAAAAATGAGTTGGTATTGCACAATAAATAACACAAATTATGATTCTTGTAGAGAATATCAAGAAATACTCGATCCGGATCACAGATAGTAATCACTCATGAGCAGGGGCGGACCCAGGGGTTAGGGGCGTCCCGGACACCCCTAAATTTTGGAAAAACGATTATCCAACCCCCGGTGGTAATTTACGTATGGACAAAAAAAAAATTGATAGTGAGGGACACCCCTTAAATTTGAAAATATTATTATCCTACTGTCATTTGTGTATAGGAATATAAGTGGTAGGTTGGATAATTTAAATCTAGAACACTATTATTATTAATAAACTTAATTTCCGTTGAGCTAAACTAATTTGTTGTTCGATTTTGAACAATGTGTAATAGTAAAATGGCATTCCCTATCTCTAATTATTTTGAAAACCTAACAATTAAACTAATTTCAAACTACCCTTAATTTGTATTGATTTTATGATTGTACGACAAGTGTTGAAAAAGTCTTTCCACTTTGGGTTACATCAAGAACAAGTTTACAAATCGAATATGCGATAAGTTCAATAATGATTGTCTAGTAGTGTATATAGAGACAATTTTTCTAAACACTATAGACACCAAGTGTATTCTACAATTATTTTCGAATATGAAAACACATCATGGACTTTTTTAACCTGTACGAGTAAGGTATTTTTTTTAACCTGTATGAGTCTCTAATTGTTCACTTTTAAACTTATCAGTAAAAACTCTTCTCCAACAACATCCATGTGAAAATTACTTTGAATAATTTTTCTGCTCGAATGCTAGAGACCAGTACACCATAATCCTTCCGACTCTACGCTAGCTTCCCTACGAGTGGAAGGCAATTCATATGTGAACAAGATACTGAAAATTGACCTTTATTTTATAATATTCGAGTTTGTGAATAACTATATTTAAATAGTAATGAATCAAGTATTCACTACCCTAAAAATTAACTTGTGGATTATAGTTGTATATATTAATTTGTGGCGGTTAACCTTTTCTTCTCTGAATTATTGTGGCGTTAATAAAGCAACAAAGTTTTGTTAAGGACTTTTTATTCACACACAAATTTGTTGAAGTTGAATGCTTCGCCGGCGAGCTCCGAATATTTGGTTGCGTGGCCAATGGAACCGGAATAAGTTGTTATTACGAAGATAATTATAACTGACGTGGCTTTGAAATCATTCTCCGAGGGAGCCCACCGTCGCTTTCTTTCTCCCCCGGCGACTTTCTTCCCGGCGGCTAGTATACTTGGACTTTTCTATCCATTTGTTTTAATTATATAAAAATTGCTCACTTCATTAACTTTCAAATTATGCAACTATTAGAAACTATTCAACATTATATCAATTTAGACGTAATTGTTGGCTTGTAGCATAATTATATAATTTCATAAATGACGAGTCTCTAGTTAGCCGTGAATGTTGAGTCATCAATAATTTCAATAGTAGGTTATCAATATCTTATTTGAAAATGGGGTCACAAGTCACAACTGTTACTTACGTCAAATTTCGGACCAAACTAGGGTGTTAAACCCTAAATATTTTTACAATACAAACTAAAATATGTACATTTAACGTTGCGTTAAAATTCAATTGTACCTTTTTATTTGGTTGAATGTTTTTTGGGTTATAGATATAATATGCCCCTCTACTATGTCGTTTTATCAAACATGCCCCTTTACTATTATTTACATCAAACATGCCCCTGTACTTTGGGAAAAAGATCAAACATGCCGTTTTGTTAAAATTTTCACCCAAAAACAGTTAACCAAGGCCAAACTTTAATTCGGGCGACACAAATGTCTAAAATATCCTCAATAATTCCACTTTATAATTCTGTTGGTTCTTTTTTATATTTTAAATAATTTTAATAATTTCACTTTGACGAGACCCAGAGAAATAAAACATGAGACAAAACTGACACTTTCCCTCCCATTTGCCGATGTCGGGTCGTCTAAATCATGGTTCAATCATGATTGACTATTTTTTCAATTAAAATTTTAACAAAAGGGCATGTTTGATAATTTTTCCAAAGTAAAGGGACATGTTTGATGTAAAAAATAGTAGAATAACATATTTGATAAAACGACGTAATAGAGAAATATATTATACTTATAACCCATATTTTTTTATGGTAATTTGAATGCTATGTTTGAAATTCATTGTAGATATTAGCATAAGCATGGTAAAATTCCTCAACATCATCTCGCTTTTGTTAGTTTACTATTATTAAACATCACTTGCTTAGCTTTCAACGAAAGTAAAAACGAACTCAATTATTCTTAGCTCTTTTTCTGCTTGTATAGAGTTTAGGGCGGTACCTAGATCCGCCAACAGTGTTGCTCATAGAGTGGCGCGTAAAGCACTGCTTTTGTCTCTTGTAGAGCTAGAATCTTTTGATTTCTTGGGGGTAGCTTCAGTAGAGTCCTTTTGGGGTCCTGGGTAGAATTGTAAACTTAACTATTATTTCTCATTGATATCATTCAGAAATAAAAAAAAAATATTCAAGATCCCTACCTAGCTTTTTCTCATTTATTTATTTTTATTTGGGGAACACGTGTAGTATTGATATCGTACGTGGTTTTTTTGTATTTACAGAGAGGGGGTCCTTACACATAATTAAACGTCGTAATTAATAACGACAAACAACTGTAAAAACCGACCACGACCAACATGATTACGGCCCTATCATCCTCTCTATTTGCCTGTGTCGGCCATTAGTCACTACATTATTTTCGTCGACATACGCAGCCAAATATTTGTAACTTTTTCACACTTGAACCCGCTCTAATTTCCACTCGCGATCACGATCGAAGGAAAACTTAGTGAGCATATATTGGAATCAATTGGCTCTTAACACATATTTTCACTATATGGTCAAACTTAGTATGCGAGATATACGATGAATATTACTTCATCTTATATCACATAATTACTATGTCAACTCTTTTAAATTGATGGAGTACTTTATCGAACGAGATATAAATTTTCTCTTTTTGATTAAGTTGTAGGAAAGTCTGAATAACCAATTGCCAAAACTGAAAACAAAATAACGATCTAGACAGGATCGTCCAATGAATTCGACATACTTAAAAATTCATCATCACATCAGGGGTGGAAATCGGTACGGTATCGGTATCCTAATATCAAATATCGAAGTTCCGAATACAAAATTACACCCTAAAATCAATCTCAATCTCAATTCCTAAATAATTTCGGTATCCCAATCTTAATCCCTAAATATTTCGTATCTCAATCGGTACCTCGATATCCCAATCGGTATTATCGAATACAAAATTAATTACCTTTGTAATTAATAATTAAATTAGATTTTATTGTTTAATTTAGGGCAAAGAGACTAAACAAAAAGTCTTGAGTTACCTAGAGCTAACATACCAAGTTCTTGTAGTTAGTAATCTTTAATTCGACGAATTGGAGTTTGAGAGACGACTAATACTAGTGTGAAATAGTGATGGAATGATCTATGTATATTTAAATGACACTCTTGGTGGTTGATGACCCGTAGTAGTGAATGAGAGAGCTAGTTGAGAGTATAAAATACACACTAGCTTATATTTCGATATTGATCGGTGTTTCAGTATACCGATCTCAATTCCGTAATCCCTAATACCGAATAACAATTGAAATTCAATCCCAATCCCACAAAATAATACATATATTCGATAATACCAAATATAGATAAATTCAATACGGTATTTGATATATCTCAAATACTGATACCAACTTTCCGTCTTAATCACATCCACAACCAAATAATCATATATATGCACAAATGCAACAAATACAGCCTCCTGACAAACCCTAATGGCCGCCCCTAACTGTAGGGATATAATTACAGAGTAGTGGATGATATCTCTGTGGACAAGCTGCAATTAAGCAGTGATTAACATTCAAGTAATGCTGTCATTATCATCGGGATTAGCAATACCTGCAGAAGTAGTAGCAACCACGACACTCCGGCCAAAAGGTGGCCCTCCACAGAAAAGTCTTTCATCTGACTTGGTCTTTAATCATCTTTTTATAATTACTTCTTAATATTCGGCTCCCATTGATCGATTGAATAATCCTCGTTCACAAACAATAGTTTTGTCTTTTACATGCACATTATCCTTTTAGTACGTTGTAACTCTTTAATTTCCACATGCTCTGACGAATTCAAACTTAGGAAACCCTCACATTCTGTACTGCGAGTTAATGTATGATAATGAAAGGCAGATTCCTTCTCTTTTTATCCTTACATTTAGGGTTGCAACAAAACCCAACCCACGGGTACTCACCCGACTCAACTCGGTCAACGCGGGTAAAATTCGTGTTGACAGGTTTTGGGCCGGGTTTGGGTTTAAATCCGTTCACTATTCACCGGGTTGGGTTTGGGTTTAGGTAAACCCGGCCAATGGGTACTGTCACATGTGGCAGATGACATGGCGCCAACAAGGTGACAACATGGCGGCTGCACATGTGGCGTGTATGGAAGACTAGTAGCATAGAGATGCTCCTAGGATTCTCCACCTAAATGAGAGCTTAATGGTGCACTTATGAGTCACATAATGGGTGACATTTATAAAGTGCATAATGGGGGGACTTAATGGGTGTATTGATGTAGTAGAGGGACATTATGAGGGGCATTGATGCCTTGTATGAGGAGAGGCCTATATAAGGAGCCATCTCCCTCACTTGTAACTCATCCATCATTTTTGTGAGCAATACAACTATATAGTTTCTCCCATCTTCTTGTGTCTTGTTCTTGTGAGTTGAGTGAGTTTGAGAGC